TGAATGATATATGGCCTTGAGAGGTTGGGTCTGAGTTCAAATTTCCTTAAAAAAAGGTGAAAAATAAAAATGGTTTCTTTTTTACACGAAAAATATTTTATTTTTATTTTTACTAACCATGAATAGTGTTAATGTTTTACAGTTAGAACCGCTTTGCAGTCCGTTAAAATTGAACATTTCTTTTTTAATAAATTAAACGTAATGTATCCCTTGCTTAAATTGGGGTGACCTTTTTATTAGTATCGTTGGTTCAAAATTTTAACTAGGTTTAAAAAAGAATTGGTATTTTAAATTATATTATCATCTGCCTTTTTATTTCATTTAATTTCTAAATATTCCATCTTAAAAAGATTCGTTATTTTTATATAATATTAAATTTAAATATAATAAACAACTAAGAAGGGATTCTTAGCCCCCCCCCCCACCTATTATTTTTATCTGGTTAAGGCCTCATTTATAGTAAACGCTACGCTTTTAGTTCAAGCGTTGCGCTAGCCAATAAATAGGTATAAATTTATAAATATGGAGCGTTATGAGGATAACATTATGATAAAATTTGAAAAATATATGTTGGCGATGCGTTGATAAAAAGTATGCAATACTATTATGAAAATAATAGCGAATTCGATAAAAAGCTATATGATTAATCTTAAATATTATTTAAATAATTATCTCTATTATAACTAGATCGTAGATTAGTTTTTAAAACTAAATCAGCTGTTATAACGCTGCGTTAAATAAAGCAACCCCTGAAGATAACGCGTTTACTATAAATGTAGCCTAACAATGTTTCGACTTTCTTGCTAAAAAACGGAAATAACGGGTCGTAGATCAACATGCTAAATTAGTGTTGCTAATCGACTCGATTTGAGCTAATTTTTAAAAACGGCTAACTCAATATTTTAACCAGATAAATATTGTATAAGCCTCGAGATTTCGATAATAGATGTCCAAACCTTTATGCAATCTATGAGCAAAATAATCAGGCTTGTGTAATATTTTTCTGGCCATTTTTGAAAATCGGCTCAAAACACTACAAAATGAATGAAAAAGTATTGAAAAATGCTGATTTCTTTTTTTAAAAAATTATTTCTATTTTTAAAAAATGATTTCTAATGCTTAGCGGCAATTTGACCTTGCACGATACCATTTGAAATGGATTATGCGCGGCGTTCGAAATGCTAATTTTATGCGCACTATTAATTAACGTTTCTTCCAAAAGGATCATAATTTTTTTTATTCTACATACCTTAAAATGCGAGATACGTAATCATATCAGTTATTAGAGACCCTCCTAGCTAGGTTTTTTTTTACTCCTTTTAGACTTAAGAAAAGTTAGTTTCGAAGTTTTGATCAAATTTCATTTTTTTTTTCAAATTAGTTGTATTAAAAAAAATATAGCTTTTCTGGCAAAGCGTTAAAAACGTTGGAAAATGCTGCGATTAAAATAGCTACCTAGGTCGACCTCTTATAAAGATAAAGATTTATGGAAACCTCATTAATCAAACTAAAAAAAATGTTTAATTTTTTCTCGATTTGATCAGAATTATTAAAATGATCAAATGAGTAAGTTGATCATGATGGTTTAACATTGCCGTTACAACCGCTGATTTATTAAAATTTCTATTCGTCTATTTATAATCACATGACCTGTCAGGTTTGAAAAGCTATACTCATATCTCTCAAACCTTTAAATAACCCTAACCTATATATTTCTAACCGTTAATTTTATTACCTCAGATACTTCCAATTAAAAAATTCCCGTGAACATTCCTTTAGTTGAGCGAATATCATATAGTGTTTGCATAGTTTTTTTTTGAATTTTTTTTTTCCTTTTCACCAACATAATCTTCTTTGCCATGTGGTAATTTCTTACTTTTTATTTTTAAATTTATAAAATTTTTAATAAGTTGACACAATTTTTTAGTTTTATTATTAAACGTTATATTTTAACAGATTTTTTTAGGATTCTCACTTTTATTAAGATTTAACATTTCTCGCGTAATCTAGAACCTACCCAAAAATAGTTACTAGGCTAAAGCCATACTAGAGCTCAGGACACCGACATGATTAAATCAATGATTATTTTTAATAATATAAAGGATCAAATCAATTTTCTCTTTTTTCTATATTTTAAATAATTATTAGTTTTTTTGTTTTCATCTAGTGTTGTTAAACGGCTCGTTTTGAGCCCATTTTTAAAAACGGCTAACTCAATATTTCAACCAGAAAAATATTACGCAAGCCTGAAGATTTTTAATAGAAGGAGCAAAGGTTTAGACATATATTATCGAAATCTCGAGGCTTAGGCAATACTTTTCTGGCTAAAATATTGAGTTAGCCGTTTTAAAAAATCAGCTCAAAACGAGCCGTTAAACAACACTATTTTCACCACATTTTTTTAATATTTGAGCATATAATATGAGTCGTATTTTTTATTAATGATTTTATGTTGTGCTTGTGGTAATCCAGAATATTTTTATTTTGGTATAATAAAACTATATAATATCATTTTAATATTTTTAAAATGTAATAGAGATATAAAAAATATTTCTAATATTATTTCGCCCTCCTTAATTAATAATTATTCTATATTTTATTGATACTCTAAGATAAAATTCAGATACATTAATGATAATACAATGATAAAATATTTTTTACATGTAATTCCACTGATGAACCGATAAAATTTCTAATTTAATAAAATGACCAGAGCAATTTTAAATGCGCTCATATGATATCAAAGAAATAAGTATAAATGAAATTGAATATATATTTTTGTATAGTATATGTACAATATATTATATACAATGTTTATTTTACTGTTCAAATATAAATTCTGTTTCATGAAAGATTAAACTGGTTATAATAGGATTTCGTATATAGACCAAAGGTCTGGATGGACTGGGGAGAATTTATATTAGAAAAGCCTGATGTTGGGTCAGGTTTTCGCCCCCCCCCCCCAAATAGTGCTAAATTGCGCAAATTTTTAAATTCGTTTATTTGCCCAAAATCTAATATTTCCTATCCCCCCCCCCTCAGTAGTAAACACCAGACTTTGGTTTAGAATGCTAAATTCTATTATTACACAAGTAAACTCATTTTTCAGTATAGGGCCTATTTACCGGACCAGCGCACGCATTATAATATGCTTGTGTCTGCATTTCTTAAACTAAAAAATCTTTTCCTTTTTAAAATAAAATTTAATTGGACGAATAACGTCCAATAGGAATTTGATAAATCACGTGTTTATTGTAATGGCTTACCCCCTCCCCCTTAAGTTTTGAATAATAATTTAATTAAATTTTATAACAAATAATTTTAATTCGCACCGCGCCTCAACGAAACATTAATTAATATCGAAAAAAATAAGCGACTTAATTTTTTTAAAAAAATAAAAATTTAAAATAAAAAGGGATTAAGTCGAGGTTTCGATTCAATGCTTTCAAACACATTTTTTTTAACAACCCATTTAATTAATCATTTAATTTCCCTTTTTTCCCGATTTTTTATGCAAACAAATTTTTTTTTTGATATTTAAATTCGTAATTATAAAATATCGATCCTAAGCGTGGAAAGGGGGAGGGGGCCCAATTTTTTTTTAAGAAAAAACAAAAAGCATCGCCAACAAATCATTACAACGAAACGAACTAGTTATTTAAAATCGCTTCTATTTGAGCCAATTTTTAAAAAAAAACGGCCAACTTATTATTGTAGGCAGAAAAGTATTACTTAAAGTCTAGAGATCTCGCTAATAGATGTCCGAACCTTTTTTCCACCTATGAATAGAATTTTCAGTCTTACGTATTATTTATCTAGATATGAAACTGAGTTAGCCGTTTTTAAAAATCGGTTTAAATGGAGCCATTTATTACTAATAACGACAATTAAATCCACACTTACCCCAACCCTTTTTACACCCGTCTCCGTTCCCTCTTTTATTTAAAAATTAGGTATCGATTTTTTTATTTTTATAAAAGGAAAATATGTTTTATTGATTAATCTAAAAAATAAATGCCCCTTTTCTTTTTTTATATTGAAAAATTTTTTTATATAACAACCTATTGTAACGTTATATAATTATTAAATTTATGTCTGGACAGACTTGATACAAACTTGAATTTAATATTTTTTTATAGAGACGGCTCTCTTTCATTAAAAATACACGCACACGCGCCTAAGAAAGTAGTCTGACGTTTGTCGCATAGCATTGATTTTATAGCATTTTTTTTGTTGCAAAATTGAGGGTTTTTTTTTCGAGATGCAGAAGAATTAGATGGGATTACTATTTTTTAAAAAAATTATTCGAAATACGTTTCGAAGGTTCATCATGTTCCAGAATGTTTTAGTATATTCATATTTTTCATGAAACATTTTAGCTTCTCTGAACGTTTTTAAAATACGATAATTAAAAGGCTAACGGGAAGAGGGCAATTTGTTTCTTACATTAATTGGGTAACCATTTTTTTAAAAAAAAAAGTGAACATAACACTAGATGATCAGAGTATAGTTCTAGCTTCCTAGTTTATTTACTAATGCTCTATTATCCAGTAACCAATGGAAACCACTGCATTAAATGTTGGTATCGGCTATAAAAAAAGTGGCATACTTGGTGCATCCTCAAATAGAAACCCCTCCTTATGAGATTCTTGCAGTTGCGACCGATAATGAATTGCAAAAACTTTAGAATGCGAAAGGCATAAAATTAACCCATAAGTGCCTAAACCTTGTTCCCAACAAGTTGGGAGCGAGAGAGGGCAGGACACCCGGTTCTTTGATCTTTATAAAATATTTTTCCCGCATTTTATACATCAACTCCACTAAAAAGATGAGATTTGAAACGAATTCCTTAGGATTAAAAACCTGGCCTGGCTAAGCCTTTCTGTAGTTGGTTAAAGATGAGGGATTTAACAAAGTTACATTTTATCCCCTCCTTCCTACATCCACCAATTTTTTTTTTTAATACTGTCATAAATACTTTTATGATATTTTTCTTTCAGACATATCCAGGAACAGAATTACCGACTTTCCGAAAGAAGTATGCGATTACGTTAGCTTGGAACGGGTGGATTTCAGCTCAAATTCTCTCAAAACCATTGCATTAAATATCGTAAATCTAAAGGCCCTCTCTGTATTAAACCTCAGGTTTTTTTTCTTACAGCTCCAATGGCTAATAAAGACCTGTCATATTTAGAAAATGTCAATCAAAACCTTTTCCCGCCTAAAGCATTCTTAGGAATGTTTGACCATCCATTTATTATCATTTTTTTTTTTAAAAAAAATTATTTTAATATCGATTTAGTATTATTATTTATTCATAAACGTTAATATTTAGTTCTCGATTGATTGACTCTTAAATTATCTGTATCTAATTATTCTACTCCCCCCATCCCCTCATTTTTGTAGCATAATAAATAAGGCAATTAAGTTGTTTTATAGATTGTTAAAAACACTTGATCTTTTTAATATTTGTGTTTATTTTTTGAATCAAACAAAATGTAATGTTTTCATTTATTATAACTTTTTTGTCAATCACATTGAGATTTACATTTTTATGGGCCCTTTATTTTACTGGTCAAATGAATGAATGGATGCTTCCCCAATATTACTTAACGCATTTTGCGACAATTAAAATATATAAATGTTTTTTTTGTTCATTTAAAAATTTTAAGTTGCAATCAATTGAGCTATCTCCCGCTTCCTTTATGCAATCTCAATCTAAAAGTCCTGAATCTTTGCAACAACAAACTCGTCTCCCTTCCGGACGATATATCTTCCTTACGCTCCCTCGTCGAATTGGTAACGCGATCGCCATTTTTTTTTAAAACGAATTTTGAGTTTTTTTTCTTTCGCTGCGTCATCTTTTACATAATAAAGTGTAAGATGTCATCAGTATTTTGTATCAGAGCCCTTGCTAAGTCAAATTTTTATACCTGACCCGAATTTTTAAACTACCTTTTAAAAATTATACCATTTTACTATTCTGGTGGGTTATAGGGCCTGCAGGTCTCCGATATGAGTTAGTATATAATTTTCTTAAATTTTATAATTAATATAAATAATTAGTTTTTTTTTACGATAAGAAAATTAACATTATTATAAGCTTTATTATTTGAGGTTAAACAACTTTAAAAAAAAATATATTTGAGCTTTAAACAACTTTAAATTATTTTGTAACTTTGAATGTTATTTTAGATGTAATTGAATGAAATTCCATATGTCCTCTTAACGTGTTTTTTTTTAAAAAGTTAATTAATATTCAACTTGTTATGAGTATTTTAAAATAATATTAATTATTATTGTATTTGAAGACTAAATTAGATTAACTATTTTTGCTTTTAATCCCATAATCTCAGGATGTGAGCTGCAATGAAATAACATATTTACCTCCCCACATCGGGAATTTACAAAATTTGAGGATCCTCAATTTGCGCAAAAATCTCTTAGTCCAAATCCCATCTGGTAATATTAAATAAAGAAATGTAAAACTGTCATTACTGAGAATATTATTTATTTTTTCTATTTTATTTGAAATTCAAAATTTGAAAGGAATTTTAAATAATGTTTACTCAAAAATATATATATCTGTAATTAAATTATAGAAACTTAATCTCGTTGCAACATTTTTATGAAAAAAGGATATATAAAATATAAATGATTGAATTATGGGCCGTTAATATATATATATTTATCCATTCCTAATCTTAAATTCAATTATTCGCTTTATTAGTAGCGTTATTCGCTTTACCCTGCATTCACAGTTAGTTGAATTCGCGGCGAAATATACAAAAATATGATATGGCATAATTTTTATATATTTAGCCGCTAATTGGCGTTTTTTTTACTCTTAATTTAAATTTAAAATCTAAATAAATTTTAAAATTAATTTGTATATTTTATCTATTTTTGTTGTTTTTTATCTAATCTATAAACACTTTCCTTCAGAAATAAGCAACTTATCGTTAGTTAAATTGGACATATCTTACAACAAAATAACGCGAATACCTCCCGATATACGCTACATGCATTCTACCCTGCTCCACTTCAACGTCCAATTCAATCCTTTAGAATCTCCTCCTATCAAAGTATCTATCACTTTTTATATTTAAAAAAAATGATATTGAAGAATGACATTATAATACTATTCATACTGTTGATCCAATCATTTTAAATTTGTATAAATAATACAAATCAGTTGTTGGTTCGCCATTTTTGATTTTCATGTTAAATAATTTATATATGGCGTAAAATCAGCTGATTTATATTTAAACGACCCTTCTAGATACATTTTTTTTATAAGTGTAGGTAAGTTGGCTTCAAAACCTATCAAAGTTATAAAATCTCGGAATCTTATTTATTTTTTTAAAATAAATTTCTCTCCTTTCCCCCACATTTACTTCAAGTATTGTAGTCAAGGTATGGCTCAAATCAAAAAACTTTTAGATGTCGAAGCAGGTCGGCGTAAAACCAAGCTGCCTTCATTCGATAATACCGCTAACTTCCAGAATTTTAATAATCATTTCAACAATCTCCTCGCCAATTCGTCTCCTCCCAACAGCGGCAATTCTAACAATGACTTAAACTGTTTTAACGGTTTCACCGTTACCAATAATAATCTAAACGAAGTGGCCAGCAGCCCAAAAATCTCGCCCGTTTCGTGCAATACGGGATTAGGATTTTTAACGAGCTGTCTTTGGAAAACACCTTCGGCTCATAATAATGCCCAAATTTGTTCAAACGTCGATACCATTTATTCAGAAACATGCGAAAATAATACGGGTGAAAACAACGCGAATAAAGGCGGCGGAGGTTAAGCCCCCCCCCCAACCGAAATTCATTCAACTAAAAATATAAAAATTTTATAGGCAGGCCTCAGACTGACTCGGGTTATGGAACGGATGTAGCCAGTCTCAACGAAATGATATTTCCGGCGTCCAACTGCGAAATTTTCCAAAATCAATCAGAAGTTAATATTCGCTCAAAGATCGAAAAAGATAATAACAATTACGAGAGCAATGATCTAGCCAAGAGAATTAGCGGTGATAGTAAAAAAAAGGAGGATAGTATTAAAGATCATGATTCAAAAGTAATAACAATTTTTTGAAGGAGGTCATAATTATTTACCTTTTATAAAACACAAGAATGTGATAAATCATTTGTTTTTTTTAGTCCGTTCAATTTCCTTATTTGTAAGGATCAGTATCATATATATGATTAAATTTGACAAGATAACAGTGGAGGATTAGATTCCAGTTCAAGTACTAACCTTTCAATTTCATCCTCCTAGTGCCCCAAAACTATCTTCTTCTTTTTTTGTCGCGAATTTCTTATTATAAGAGGATTAGCCTTTTTATTTGGTAAACCAGATCAACTTATAATTATGTAATTATATTTTAAAAAATTAAAATAAGCCTCTCAAACCTATTCGACAAACGCTCCCGCTCAATAGCACGCTGTTAGCGAAAGAATCAAACGCTTTATCCTTCAAAAACGACGACGTTGACAATAACGCGAATGGATCGGTTGTCATTCAGGATGAATTCACAAGGGTTAATAAATTTAAAAAAATTTATAATTTTAAAAACTACTAAACCACGAAAGTATTACGAAAAAAAAATAAAGGATGGAAAGATTATTCATCATTAAAATTTAATTAAAAGTTTTTAATCGGAGTCAACTGTAGACGCCATTTTATGACCTGCCACTTTGGTTGACTAAATGTCATTTACCTTATTACAAAAAAATTCTATTCTATTTTAAACAATATAACTACGGCTTCTATATATCTGTTGCCCTGTTTAATGAATGAATTCCTCATATTTATTTAGGACATAAATATATTACTATTGAACATCAGGGAGAAAATTTTTTAATATTTATAATCTATTTTTTTTAAATTCTATGTTGATCTAAATTTTATTTATCTTTTTAAAAAATAGGAATTGAATCGTCAAAAAGTTCAATACCAGCTGCAAAAAAGGAAAGCCGAAAAATTACGTAACGAATTATTTTCGCCTAACGGTCAAACCATCTACAATCCTATCGAGCATAATAATCACGTGACAATGAATGGACAGCGCGAATCGAACGAATATCAGTTTTTTTAAAAATTATATAAAAATAATAGTTACAAATATTTATTTATTTTAATTTTTTAAATCAATTAAAATTTATTAAATTTTTTTTTAAATAACGAAAAGAAAATCATGCACAGATGACAATCCAAAATTTTGCGCTACATTACTTACAAATGGCCATACTACATCGGAGCGCGTAACCTCAGAAGATACCTTAAATGTCGATCGTGATGACTTCCAATATATTTCCAACAATACCTCGAACTCAGTCAATAATACCCTTCTGATAACCAATAATTTCGTCCCGTCAAATAATACGTATCTCAAGGATAACGTCGATAATAAACTAATCGAAATTCGCAAGGATATTAAAAGTGTGGTTCCTGAAGTAAATTTGAGAAAAAGAAATAGTGATAAAAACATCAATTATAATGCCACCGCAAATAATACCGTAGCCCCATTGGCTAGGATCGAATCGTTCATCGAAAATAGCGACCATGTGACGGAAGCCTATAATATTAATAAGGTAAAACTATTTTTAAAGAAGTTATCGATAATTCTATTTATATTACGCTGATTTGATATTGGATTCGATTGGCCAATTTGAAATTTTGGCCCAAACTTGATATTTTAAAATGGCTGGTAATGTAAATAATTTGATTTCCGGAATCACTTAATTCGAAAGAGTTAACATCTCTTGCAATTATTAAGATCTGTTTTATTTACACCATGATAGTTTTTTATATATTTAGAGTCTATAGAATAGAAATAGGCATATTTTTTCAAATAACAATGGCGATTTCAATATTTTCCATACCATTTTTATTTATGTATTTATAAGGATTAGACACAAAATTAAATTTCCTATCTAAATATGCTTTGATGTAATTTTTATATATTTACAATAAAATTAATTTCCAATAGGACACGATAAATCATATTCTCGCATCGCCTTTTAAAGATATCCGGCTTTTGAGTATGAATAAATTTATTACTGCTTCTTAAATATTAAATTATTTTATTAACCATTTTATAAATATTACGGTCTTTTGAATTGAAATTAAAAATATTAATCATAAAATGAAACCAATCATCTTATTCACCCAAGACGTCAAAAGATACAATAACGTCAATCAAAATACTCCGAGTAGTAGTTATAGCGATATAATCAGTAATTCTCTTCACAACAAAATTGATCTAACCAGCACTCCCAAATCAATTAACCCGCATTCCGTTACCTCTAAAATTAATCACTCTCCTACACCTCTCAGCTACAAGCAAAGCAAGTTGGAAAGAGAGATAGAACTTATTAGAGAGGATAGAAAAATCATCGCTAAACTGAGAGAAGTTTTAATTTTTTTTCAATCTTTTTTCTCCTCTAGACAAATTTGACCTTGTAAATTTATATCGGAAATCCTTTTTGACATTTTATTTAATTAGATTAAATAGAAAATATTTAGTCTTTTCATTAAATTCCTCAAAAAAAAAATTCCTTTTACTACCCCCTTTTTCTATCTTTACTCAAATAAATATAAAGATCATCGAAACGCGGCTAAAAGTAGTTATGCCAGAAGATTTAACGGGATCTTTGATGGACGGCGTAGCCCTGTGCCATTTAGTCAACAATATCAAACCACATACTATTTCCTCTATCCACGTTCCCTCAAAACTCATGGTTTTAATTTTTTAAAAATAAACATTTTATTCACTTATTCTCAATTGGTTGCTTCTCATTTCTAAGCTGGTTTTAATAAGTAGTCGAATAAACGATAATTACAAGATTATTCTTAGTTATAGATTTACAATGGCTCTAATTATTTAAAAGGTTTTTAAAATTGTCTTTTAAAATAAACATAGTACATAATTGTAGCTATTATATATTATATTTATTATATTGTTTAATATTATTTGCAGCAATAGGTCCATCATTATTTTTATAATGTATCCAAATTCGCTGTAATATTATATTTTTTAATTTTTATTTCTATAACAATATTTTATTAAAAATTTCTATCATAATATTTAAATCACTATAAAATTAAAATAATACAATTTCATAATTGTGTTCCATATAAAGAAACAAAGTTATATCTAAAATTTTATATTTGAATTTTTTGACATATATTTTGAAATTCTTTGGCTCTGTTTGTAAAATTTTGATTTTTGCTGCCAAAATTTTTTAAAAGACTAATAGTGGAAAATGGCCGTTTGTGGAAGCCACTATTGAAATAAATTGTAAGTTGTTGAGATTTATATATTTATTGATCTTTTTTGTTTCTGCTTGGGTTAGCGGATTGATGTTTGAGGGGAACGAGACCCAAGGTATAATTTGCATACCATCAAGTCTTATGGCATCTACGTGAGATAAATTTATGGGCTCAAGATCGTTCGGAATGTGGGCTGCTGTTAAACCTTGATTTATTGCTGTGTAGCGCTGGTGTCGCCCTTGATTGTATATACAATTAAGACGGTGCCTACATTTTGAATCAACTGGTGATTTGCATTTAATACCAGCATGTGAGTGTACGATATCACAACCTATGGCAACTCCCAATTGTTCGTCTAATAAGATTACCAAGGTTATGACAAGAGTAATTTTAACCATTCATAATCATCAAGTCTATCATCTGATTGAAAGTTGAATGCAATTCAAAGGTGAATTGACTGATATATCTGTTTGGTATTCTAATATTAAAGGTGTGAAATTAAGGTTATGAGATACTAAAACTATATATATACACAAATTATCCACAATTAATTAACAATATATCTTATAATAAATATCATCGCGTAAATAGATCTAATTATGTATCGTTGAACAATAACTGAGCTAATCCTATATGTTGGAGGATTCCCGCATCCCATTTTTTTCTTCACTCCGCACAGATGACTGGATGTTTTTGATTCTTGTACAATAAACACATACCGCTCAGTCTTTGTTTGACGATACATGACTTAGACCAATTTACTTGAAGATATTTATGAAAATCGATTGTTAATTTATTGAGAATAATTGTATATATATTTCAACTACGAATAAGAGATATATTACAAACTAATTTGAATACCTTATAAATGCAATAATTGACCGTAAGCTGCAATTAATAATTAAATTTGTATAATTAATAATAATTATTATTTATTAAAAAATTACATATCATAATATAAAATTATAGCCGAAATTGACCATGGCCAAATGTAAACGGAACGTAGATAATTTTATCTTAGCTTGCAAACAGTTAGGCATTCATGAAGTAATTTATATTTTTTAAAAAAATTTATTTATTAATTGATGTTCACTTCTGAAAAAGCAAAATCTTGCTCAAACACCTTCCAAATTCTTTTAGGAAATTTATTTTTATTATTAAATATTATAAAATATTTTCCATTTCTCTTCTTTTTTTCTCCTCTCAAAGAACTCTAAAAAAATAATCATTTTTTTTAAAACGTAATGCTAATACAAGAATGATATGTGTCGCTGGGAAGATGTAGTATTAGACCCCAAACCCAGACTATTGTTAAAGAATCTGATCGCGTTGCTTAATAATTCTAGTACGAGATTGGTCCTATTCGTATTTGATAGAGACCATCTAATAAATCTTTTTTGTGCCGTTTCGCTTTCTTTCACCATATTTTATCTCTACTACATATCACACCGTTAATAGAAGAGAAATTAGTTTTCGATTTATAAATAATTCTTTGAACATAATAATTTTATAAAAAAAACCTTATAGTATACCTGCATTTTTACCATAAATTTAATAGGACAGAAGCCAAATCAGAAAAATATTAAAATAATAAATAATATACGGTTTGTTTATAATTATTGTGTTTTGATAAAATGTATCTTTAAAAATAATTAATCTTATTTTTGTCTACTCTTATATGAAAGTCCCATATTGAACATCGATTAAATTTAAATTGTCTTATTTTTTTAAAAAATTAACATTGCAAACGGATTTTTGCAAATTTAATATAAAAATTTTTTTTAAAAAGTATCATATCGGCAATAAAAAATGTTTTTAGGGTTTGATCGAAATTTTTTTTCGTGCAATTTATCTTTATTGTGAACAATTACAAAACTTAACTTGATAACCTTTGTGATAATATTTTAATTTTTATAAGCACTTTTCGCTCAAACAAAATTGATAATATTTATAAATTTTTGATGATATATTTTCGATTTTCTTCTTCTTTCAACAAATTAATTTTTTAATATCTCCCCCAACTTTTTAATTACAGAAATACGAAAAGTATATAAAAATAAAATGAACCCAAATTTTTATTTTGTCATATCAGGTGCTTTAACATAAATATCCTTGTCAGAAATTTTTTTTTAAAAAAAAATTTATAAATATAATATTAATTAAATCATTCCATTTTAATCCTTTAAACAAATACATTTTTTTAATTTAGCAATATACATTATAATTTTTTTTTAAAATCTTTGATGATGATAATAGTATGAATATATTTTTCTTAAAAAAAGTATTTATTTTGATAATACAAATTTGTATTCTATTTAAAAATAAATTTTTTGTAGTTAATATATTTTACTATTTTTTAAATATATTTCATAAAAAAAATAAATAAAGTATTTGGAACCATACTTAATAATTGTATTGATTTGGGTAGACAAAGTTTTTTGGTACCCTTGAAGTAAAAAAACCGATGCGAGGAAGAGCCTCTGCGTAATACTGTCTTGCTCCGTATGGGGTGGGCCTGTTTTGACTATCGTTCTTTATGAATGCATGAATTACCGTGCCTATAATTTTTTTTACATTTGAGCTAGTGTATTGAGGGGGTCACTTTTTTTAAAAAAAGAAAGAAGAGAAACATGTTTCGAATACGAAAATATGTTCTCTCTTCAGTTTAAAACATTGCGCCCTTTTCTAATACGGATCTGTTCCTTTTTTGATAATTATTTTACTTCCGCCAAAATAAAAGAAAATAATATTTATATTATATTTTTCTATAAAAAAAAATCAAGGTAGATATCTGCTTAGCGACAGACGTATTAGAAGGGCGCAGTGTGAGTCGAATAGCGAAAACGGTGATGTGTCTTAATCAAAAACCTCTCATCCAAAATAATACCAACGGTAGTAGCACAAATAATTCAAATAACGCCATTATAATAAACCATCACAACAAAACTTCGAACATCCATCGTGCCAATAGCATTATCAAACAGCGTCAATCACATAATGGCAATATTACAATGAACGGCGTTTCACATCATAGCCCCGCGCCTAGCCCCCTTACTCTGAACGATGCCTCGAGAATAAATTTTACATCCAAAAAACTTTCCACATCTTCATCACCGAGCTATCAATCGCAAATTTCCTACAAAAAAAGTGTCAATCAACCCGTCGAATCTATTAAAAATATCAATAATTGTATCAAAAGTAACAGTAATACAAGTCTGGACAAGGATTCGCCTGGTCATAACTTAATCACTAAAAAACCATACGCGTTTGCTTCGAACCCACTTAACTCTCAAATTTTGTCACAAAGACATCATCATATATATTCGGGCACCAACGGTAATGGCACAATATCCAAGAAACAAAAATTTCCTCTTCATTTGTCAAACCTGTAATATATTTTTTTTATATAGGAAAAGTGGGAACATCGAGAAACTGATTCCATCATATTTTTAAGCAAATTTTTAGGCGAAAATAAATTATTGAGTGGCCTACCTTTAATTCAAAAAAAATGCTAGGTTTCCCCTAGACATTAATACAATTTGCATTTATAAATAAAGCATTTTTTTTACAAAATCTTGCACTTATTTAATAATTATTTTTAAAAAATTGAAAACTATTCTTCACCATTTTGAGTCAATTGTATCTACACGATCTCAAATTGCCATTTTAAAAAGGAAATTTTTTATTTAGGAAGTATAAGTATTTTTCCCTCCTAAAAATTTAACCAAAAATGCGTAGAAAAATCAATGTTGCATCGTCATATTTTTTTTAAAAAAAACCACCAGAATTTAATTTATTTTTTTTAAAGAATTTTTATAAGCATATTTAATTTATTGAATGTCTTTATTTTACGAAATATGCACAAAACAACAACGCTATTTTAAATAATTCTATTATAATAAAATCAAAATAAATTTGAATTGTGTGTTGTAAGATTAGGACGAATTGTAAGAGGTCGATAAACGAGGTTATTAACAATAATAATAACGCAGATATTATGTTCAGAGACCATATTGCTCATTAATGAAACGCAGCCCAAATTATACGAAATGGAATAAAGTAGCGCCATAATTCATAGTATTATTTCTTTTTTTGTGGCAAAAAGTTAATCTTTTTGTTATAAAATCATTTAAATCAATGAATTTATAGCTCTAAAAACATATATTCTTATTTTTATATAATATTGGCAAATTTAAAAAATCATAAATTCCATATTAGAATTAGACTCTTTAGAATGGTAAGGTAATAATATGTAAAAATTTATTTAATATTTAAGTTGGTTCCATCTCTGCTCGTTAAGCTTAAATCATAATCTCTCAAAAAGCTTATTTTCTATCATTCATTCTTTATAGGGAAACAAGATTACAAAAAAATAACATATGCCCAAAAAAATAGGTAATACATCGCGACATATTTATTTACGTCATTTTATATAAAATTAAATAATGTCTTTAAAGGTATAATACAAACACGATGCGAATATATAAATATTTATTTTTTTGAAAAATAACTATTGTGAGATTGCCGAATTCGTAATTTTTTTAAAAATGTGCTGTCTATAAAATTATATTTATAAAAAAACATCTACGCGTGCGCATGACTAGACGCCTAGTGATAAATAAGTTTCATCACGAGATATTATTTGGTTGTCACCCAAAAAAATGTTTTAACATTGTCCAAATAAGTGGCGATACCCTTAAGCGAAACGTAATCACGAATTTTGACACAGTAAGAAAAATAGGAAAAATCGTTTTGGGGAATTGATGGTGAACCATATTCGATTTCTTCTTCGTTACTACTATTGACCGAATCGTAATTTTCTATCTCTTGATATTCAAGTTTCCTATTGGAGGATCGATAACTCCTACCCACCGCATTTTCGCTCATTCCTTCGTAATCATTATGGCGTGTCGGCAAGAAACGACGTCTGTACAAGTGTTTGTAACTTGCCATTCTTTCGTTGGTAGTGACACCCATGCCTATTTGATGCAACTGACACACTAGAAGCGCTACGACCCACGTAAAGTGCAAACACGCGTGCATGTAGAACCAGGTTACCCAAGGATCACGAGTCAGTAGCCAGTTAAGATAAATATAAGTATGGCTTAGAGATATTTGTGCAGATATATTTGCGGGTTTAGTAGTGTAATTATTTGAGTAGTATTTCGTGGTATGATTCCGATTAAAATGTTTACCCTTTCCCGTTAAACAAAATTGACAATTTTGCCAATAGGCGAAGCCCGCGTACAAATAAAGCCCTAAACAAAGGCTCAAAAATATCAAGAATAACAGGAAATCGCGATGATTTTTACCTCCGACGCAATTAGCTATCCACGGACAATGGTGATCGAAGACAGCGACACATCGATTGCACAGGCTACAATGCTTTGCCCTATCGGAAACTTTTTTTAGACACAAACATGTGGCACAATACTGATCTCGACGAAAACCAAAACTTTCCAATGTCGAGTTGTCATTCATTTCTATATAATTTACCATAATCTTTAAACGGGCTTGTATTATATCCACTAACTCGCCCGATGTTAACTGAGATGCTGGTAGTCGATTGTATCGAGTGGAAAATTTTGTCATGAAACGTTCGAAAAAGAGCCTTAAACCTATTTCCGAACCGACTATTTTTTGGCTGTCTAATTTTGGTCGATGACGATTTAATAATGTTTTGATAGCCTGACCCAGGGTTGGTGTTTCGACATAACCCGGGTCAGCTTTCCATGAACGCAAAAATGAACGCGACATCAAAAAAGTGGCTATATAAAAAACGATTTGATAAGGGATTGACGCGGTGGAAACGGCCGGAACGTAGTGCGTAAACCAGGTTAGGTAAAGGCAGAGTGCCGTGGAAAAGAAAACAGAAAGGGGTAATATAACGAGGGCGTCTTTGTCGAAGAATAGACGTTCGGAAGTTATAATCGATACTAAAAGCGTAGCGAATAAAACAAATTTCGACCTTAGTGTGATCGAACTTTGTAAGATGGCCCCAAATACGACTAAAAATATGAGCGGCGCTAATGCCATAGTGTAGTTTCGGGTTATCTTGGTGGCTTTGATTACAAATCTATAGTAAGAGGGGATGCAAATTAAATATAAGAATAAACGATATGGCAAGTTTAAAATTTATTTACGCATGTTTGTGCTTATATAATATATAAAACTGCAAAATTAAATTGGTGCTTAAATCCTGGCATCCAATGATTGTCATCGTAATCGTGATTTATAAAATTTCAAAGAAAATATATTGGTCTCAAGCGAAGTTTATTAACAATTAATGATACACGCAACATTCATGAAAAATAGGCTGTTACATTTAGATATTTAAAAAATATTTTCTTAAAAATTTTGGAATTCAAACATTTAACCATAATATTATAGGCAGAGGATGATAGTGTTCAATATCCATTTTTTTCCCAATTGTTCGGGATGTCCTAAAATAGTATTATCATAAAGCTTATTTTTTTTAAATCTCCGAAAAAATTGAAATGGTACAAAAAAATTAATTTTTATCTTCAATAAATAAAATGTTCCATTAACCCAGAACATTTTTTGTTTAAAAATTAACAAAAACCAATTAGTCACATTTTGAAGATCACGTGACTAGATATTTGTAATTTGATTGGTTTAAGAACCTGGATTATTGTAATAATTTACAAATTAACAAATAGAACAATATAATATTGCTAATAAAAAATTTTTTTTAAATAATGTTTATTATAGATATGGATATAAAATTAAATGGAACATTATAATCCTCAGACAACGTTACCTTATTTTATTGTGAATAGTTTGCCTAAAAAGAAAAAAAAAATAAGTTATTATTATTTTTATTACATTATAACAAAATCATTCTTATAATTTCATGCCAAAGTCTTGAGCAGAAATCAATGGCCCCTACAACGGGAATAGGGGGGAGGGGGCGAAGCAACTTCTTAAAATTTGATTTTTTTAAAATTTTATTTCGTTTTATCACACCCATCCATAGCCAAAAGATTTCTTGTCTTATAAAATTTTTCCAATTTCAAAATATGCCCATCAAAATTAATAATTGCACACGGCATAAGAGATAAATGGACAGACCATCAAGTTAAAAAATGTCGTTTCGAAATATTTATTTATGACTAAAACGCGGGATTTAATTATTACACATGACCTACCAGGGGTTAAAGAATCTAAAATTTGTCATATTCTGAGAATTTTAAATTTATTTTATTTAAATATTTATATAATACATTATTTAGCTTCTGAGACTTATAATTAGTTTATTTTACCTTATCGTTTACTTTAAAAATTTTCTGCTTTCCTTAATTTATCAATTATATATATATAACTATTTCTACTGCCGAAAGGGTGTCAAAAACAATTAACTGTGTTTTATTCGGAAGAGGGGGCAGGGGTACTTTTCAGGGGGTATTCTGCTTCCATCGGTAAGAAAGTGTAGGGGCCATTGGCAATAATTAGTAAATATAAGTTTAGCATGGCTTCAAAACTTGAGAATAATGGTGCATTCAATTTAGAAAATATATTTATAAATAAGGAAAAGTAATAGAATAAGAATAATAATTAAGGTTACTATATTTATAAATAATTATTAAATCTAATTTAACAGTAAAGAAATAGAAGCTACTTTTCAAAAAAAAAATAGTGCGCTTGTAAAAGCCATTATTCAAAAAAAAAGCAGGGTTTATCATTTGCTCAAAAATCTTCAAAGATCCTTGCTCTTCTGAAGGTCAAGTTCTGAAGGTCAAGAAATGTGAAGATTTTTGTAAAAAAAAAATTGAACCTCCTCAGAAGATTTTTGAGTAAATTAAAAAATGTTTTTTATAAAAAAATATTTGATTTTTCCTTTGATGTTTTTTTCTCTTATCTTATCTAGCACATTGGTCATAGAACTGCCCAAAATGAGCGAAAGTGAATTATATGAAGGCCTACCCTTCGCCTTCATATAATTATGTCGATTTTTTCCTTAAGGATACCGACAAACCTTGTACCCAGATGAAACTAAATTAATGAATGGAACTAACCCAATACCGTTATAGTAAATAATTTGATTTAGTAGAAAGAAGAGAGAAAATATAGAATAAGAAGAAATAGAATAGATATTAAAATACTGTTTAAAGTATTCCAAATACAACTGCCAAATATTAAATTAAATCTTTAAGGGATACTTTATCATTTTAGATAACCAACTAAATTCAAGATGTTTAAATATTTACAGATATCCAATTGAATATCACGATTGTTTAAATTATTTATAACTATAAAATATAGAAGGTTAATCTGTAAGTAGTTATTACGGAAAATATGAAAATTCACTTATTATAATTAAATTATAAACTACAATAAAATAATATCTTATATTTACATATAAAACATTTTTTAATAGGTATCAAATATATAAATATAACCTAGTAATGCGAGATACCTTATAAATAGTTAGGAATAATAAAATATATCTTAAAACATAAAAACATCTAGTAATAAGTATCAAAATATATAAAAATAACCTAGTATGTGAGATATCTTATGAATAGTTGGAATAATAAAATTCTATATAAAACATCATGAGGTTTTCATTAAAGGACCTAATCGATTATTTCATAAATATCAGATCAGCTAGTGGTTGGATAATAAATGTCAAAGTTCTAAATCACGTGACGTTTAACTCAGATCATAAATTTCATGTATGTTATATGGTGATGGATCCGGAAGTTTGGTATAAGAGAAAAAAGTTTACAGAGAAGGCAAATAACAAAATGTCCAAATTAGATATTGAGTCCCTTAGCGATCAAAATACTAAGGATAAATTCATCAAACAGATACGTGAAAGATATCTAAATCAGAGAGATTTCTTCTTTATGCTACCCATTGATCTATTATATGGAAATACTCGTGGCATTTTTACCGATGCGGCGGCTACTTCCTTACCAAAAAAAGTGGTTATCCTGATTGCATTTCTATGGAATAGAAAAATCTTATAATTAATCTAAAGGGGAAAGGTCATTATAAGAGAAACAGGGCAAAATATATACTAGACGATATTAGCCATAAACTCAGGAGAGATAAAAGGAAGTACTTAGAGAATCGTGCAGTTGAAATTAACAATTTGTTTGTACAAACGATACTTTCAAAGCCTTTAGATTACTGAAATCTCACCTCAGGCAGGAAAGAACGTATTTTTAAACTTTGGCATGGGAATAATTTGATAACTGTTCCTAAAGCTCAAATGAATATCTGGTATTCACATTATATTAGATTGTTCGGTGGAAATGAAAGTTCCTTAAATAATAAATTAACACCCAGCTCTGCTGCCCCTTCGCCTCCCTTGTGTAGCCAAATTCAGTGTTCGCTTTCCTTCCAGTATAATCAACGCTTCACTATCTCAGAGTTTAGATGTCAAAATTCAATTAATACCTATAAATGTGGTGACTCAACTCAGTTTTCTCATCATTCTTCCCAGCATGATCAACATCTCACGTCCTCTGGTCTTCCTCATTATTATCAAACTAATCCCAGTAATAACGTTGTTTCAAACCAATTTTTGAGTTTTTCCCCTCAGTGCGATCAATGTCCCTCTACCTCAAAGTTATGGCCTCCAATTTCAATTTATACCTATAATTATGATGTCACGACTCAGTCTTCGCATTAATCTCATCTGCTTGATCAATGCCCCACTACTTGGAAGGTTTGGACTCCCCCAACAAGTTCAAGTAATAACGCCGTCCCTTCTCCTCACTATGATAAAGATCAAACTACCACAGACCTATTGACTTTTAATTTACCGCACATATTCATATCTACTTCCTCTTGCTGTAATCACTCCTATTCAATGTCATACTCCCATCCTTCTACGCAATACGTACAACGATCATCTACGGAACAAACCTCAAATGATGTTAGACTTAATCAACCAACGAAAAGTGAATTAGTTAGGATAATAAATAAACTGAAAAATCACAAAGCGAGTGGTCAAGATTTATTACACTGTGAATAAGACTGATCCCATGTTACGCGCGGAGATTCTTCTCCCAATCATATCTAGAGTTTGGCATAAAGGGACTTGTCCTAATGATTGGATCACTGCTATCTTAATTAATTTCCCTAAAACCAAGAATCCTAAATTTCTTGAAGACTGGAGAGGAATCTCGATAAATTCAGTAGTATATAAGATTTTCGCGAATGTTATATTAAATAGGTTAAGATCGTTAGTGGAACCGTATTTTGTTGATTCATTGGTTTCGTTTAGGAAGGGTCGTAATACACTCGAGGCAATTCTAGCAATCAAAATTCAGTTAGAGAGCGCGGTTATACCAAGAAGACCCTTAATAATTATTGCCCTTGATTTCAAGAAAGCATTTGACTCAATAGTACATTCTAAACTATGGAGTACTTTAGAGGAGATAGGTATGCCTAATGCTTTGATAAACTTGATGAAATTAAAAAAGAATTTTGAAAAAATTTCCCAGATGATTTCATTCTCAAAAATCTTTGAGCGTTCTCAATATTTTTTTTACGAATTGATCTTCAAAGATTTTTTGAATTTTGGCGAAAAAATCTTTAAATGCTCATTTGAAGATTTTTGTTAAACCCTGAAAAAAGTCGTGCTATCGCTAAATCTACAAAAAAAATAAGCGCGTTAATTTAACATTGTGTGTTTAAAAATAATCTTAAATATAAAGTTGCTGTATGATATTATTATATAACTAGCAAAGCAACTGAACTTGAATTGGCTGATTCATATAATATATATATGTTATGAATATGAGAATATTTACAATTTATATCTTGTAGATGGATCATATGATATTGAAAATATTCTAGCCCACGGTTTGTATAGAATCGATGGAATATAACAATTGAACCTAACTAAATTTGTTTGACGGTCAGCTGCTAATAAAATGTCTTTGATGTATGCTTGAGATTGTTGTTTAGCTAAGTCTAATGCTGTCAGGTCATGACCATTTTTTAGCTATAATTTAAAAGGAAAAATTTATATATAGTATGTATGTGACTATTTAACGTTAAAATGACACGTTATAAATAATATTTATAATGATAACATTTAAACTTATAATATTTCAATCGGGATATTACTATATTTTATATTAGGGATGTATTGATATCTTTTATCGGATCTGATAAGGCCGATATTTCATTTCATCTTTTTTGAAAATATCGGTTATCTTCCGATCCGATAAAATATCTTCTTAATTTTTAAAAAATTTATTTTAAATTACATAATACATTTGTTTATTACTTATTATGTAAATAGATTAATATTATTATATAAATAAGTGATTTATCAATAAATATTTTATATACTTTTAGATTCATGGATAAAACTATAATGAACATTATATATATTTAAATGACTTATGTTATAGTATAGTTAAAATTTTACATGTTATACTGATAAGTAGATGTATGTATTAAATTAAAACGGTTAATATTTTTATAGAATACAAAATCAAATACGATATCGGATCGGTAATCGGCCAATATCAATAGTATCGGTAATATCGGATCCTCCAAAAATTGGTATTGATAGGTATCACGTCAATTCGGCGCATAAAATTCGGCGTGGCGACAATTTAGCGGGTATCTATTACAGTTACAATATATTATGAATTACTTAGTATAAAAATATAAGGATGATTAAATAGAAGTCATTTTTAATTTAGTATTATTAATTATTTCTTCATATTTATTTTTACAAAAATCTCAATTTTATTTACTAAATGTGTAATATCGAAAAAAATTAACTAATATTTATACCTATTTCTTTAGTGGACCAATTTACCACATTATAAGGTATGTTGATTAGTAGCCACTATTATGTAAGCCTGGAGAATTTGTGAATAGAAGGAAGAAAGAAAAAGAAAGATTTGACCTCTATCTCTAATCTTATATATTATTTTGGCTACAATCTTAATCAACCGTTTTTAAAAATAGACCCAAAATACCACCCTGATAAGTACTATAATGTTAAATCTTAAATCCCATTTTCACGCCTTATTTTATACAATAAAAAAAAAATTATAAAAGTTTAAAAAAATAATATACCCTCCTGATAAGTAATATAAGAATAACTAAAATTATGTTAAATCTTAAATCTCCTTTTCACACCTAATTTTAGACAACAAAAATAAATATAATTATATTTTATTTTGGGATTTTCTCTTTTTGTTCAACAATTTTAAAGAATTCAATAAATTATTTTTCTCATCAATAAAAATAAAAATTAACATTCTAAAAAACATAAAATCCAAATCTCCTTTTTTTTTATTTTTTCCTCCTAACTCTTGACAAAAAATTAATAAATAGAATTATATTTTATCTTGAAATTTTGTCCTTTCTTCCATTTTAAAATTTTAAAAAGTTTGTAAAAAAAACTTTATTTTTTTTCTTTTTCTAAAATTTAATATCTTTATAATTTCTTTCCATAATTTAATCATTGTAAATTGAGAATTACTGATAAAGGTAAATATTAATATTATTTTATATCATTTATAATTTTTATACATTTATTTTTAAGAATGCCTTTAAAATATGTTAAATGAACGTGGGTCAAAATAACTTGTTCATGATCAATACATATTCAGGAAAGAGAGAACTATAAATCAAAAAACAATATGGAAATGTGTTGAGTCTTATAAATTATTGGAAGGTAGACCTACCCATTGCAAAGGGCGGTGCCATACATTAAATGAAGAAGTAATTCTTCATATAGATAATTATAATCATGTGTTAGATGGTACTGAGATATTAAAAACCGAATGCTTATATAATATTGAAAGACATGCCATTGAGGTGACTGATACACCTCAAAAAATTATAAGCATTGCAATAGCAGGGGGCTCCCCATCCCTTCATACTGCCCTTCCACCCATAGCGTCAATATAGCGGACCATTCTGCGGGCTTGATCGCTTATAGGTTCTCCATTGCCTAACTCGACGGACAGTTATGATCTAGATTTTCCCGATATCTATAGAATAACATGTTCAGGGTTGCCATTCCTTCAATATGACAGCAAGCATTTTCAACCGGAACTGCCAGAATGTGTAAAGGCATTTATTTCCACCTGTTCAAAATCGATCATTACCGATATAGGATTTAGATTATTTTTTAGTCTTTTTATTTCATCCAAGACCCTTATATATGTAATCTGGATTTTATTCGGTAATAGCGCAAAAAGGGTACAATCGTTTTATGATATGGGACATGGAGGGTCCAAAGTTGGTGAAAAATTAAGGGGGTTATCTTAAATGTGCCATCCGCATACCAGTGACTGCTTTCCGCCATCAATGTAAGGTTTAAAGCGGTGGCGAATATCAAAATTTAATATATTATTTGGTGTCACTGCCCTTGGTATTTCATTTTTTAACACTCCTAATATCATAAATCTCAAATTATTGCCCCACATGATTTCTCATCCATGTGTCAATAGCTCCATTATAAAACTTTTTCAATGGCCCATAAACTGCTTTGTCTAATGGTTGGAGTTTATGCGAGCAATGTGGTGGAAGTGTTAGAATAACAATTCCATTGGAGCGACAATAGTTTATAACGGAAATTGAACAATGATAGCTATGGTTATCTAAGATTAATAAGACATTTTTCTCATTGGATGCACTAGAATATTTTTTAAAGTGTTCCAAAAAAGATAAAAATTCCTCCTCTTGCATCCAACCCGATGCGTTCTCACACCCTTAGATCCAATAGGCCCATCACGAATAAAGTGATCTTTGTATCGTTTTCTTGGAAAAATAAAAAATAGTGGAATGCTATGGCCTATAGCATTGATGGCTAAACATGTTGTAACTAACGTTTCTCTTTCTCCTGACGTTATAGAGCCGACTTGTTTGGCACCCTTCTGTGCTATAATATTTGCAGGAGTTTGAACGGTGGTGAAACCACTTTCATCTGCATTCCATATATTATGTGGTTCAAAGTTATAAGAATTATATAGCTTAATTAAATTTTCAAAAAATTTATTGACATTTGTGGGATTGAAGCCATATGCTCTTGCTAGACTAGTAGCTTCAGGGGTACGAATCGAAAGTTGGGAATGTCGTTTTCTAAACCCCATAAACCAGTCCTCTCCAGCCATACCATTAGTTGTCCAGCTTTCTGGGAAAGATTTGCCATATTCTTTAGCAAGCTGAGCTGATATGCAAATCCTCTTATCTTGTTTATTTATAAAATAAAACAATTTCATTTTAATAATTAACAATACCAGTTCCATAGAGTTAAAATGATATATAATTAATTAAATAAATTGAATTAATTTCATAATTTTAATAATGCTCAATTTAAATATCAATATTAATATAGTAACTTTAATAAAAATGCTGAGCATTATTAAAATTATGAAATACAATATAATTTCAATTGAGCATTTTTATTAAAGTTACCAAATTATTGATATTTAGATTGAGCATTATTAAAATTATGAAATACAATATAATTTCAATTGAGCATTTTTATTAAAGTTACTAAATTAATATTGATATTTAGATTGAGCATTATTAAAATTATGAAATACAATATAATTTCAATTGAGCATTTTTATTAAAGTTACCAAATTAATATTGATATTTAGATTGAGCATTATTAAAATTATGAAATACAATATAATTTCAATTGAGCATTTTTATTAAAGTTACCAAATTAATATTGATATTTAGATTGAGCATTATTAAAATTATGAAATACAATATAATTTCAATTGAGCATTTTTATTAAAGTTACGAAATTAATATTGATATTTAAATTGAGTTATTAAAATTATGAAATACAATATAATACAAACAATATAATTTAATTACTTGTTTAGGCGTTAATCCCATAAATGACCTACTTGCTTCTAATATGTAGTCACACAATCTAGATTCTTCTTCATTTGTAAATATTTGTTTATGATGATCTAAACTTTTAATACCAAATTTATATCTCCTTCTCAACGTTGTATAAGGTATGTTAAATTTTTTAGCAGACAAATTTAATGAAGTATTATTTGTTATTTTATATTTTATGGCTTCATTTATTATATTTACATCTCTGTATATGGTTTTTTTTTATAATTTCTCATTATTTGATTGATACAATAAAAATTATAATAAATGAATGAATGAAAAATTTAATGTGAATAATTTTATATTACCGTTTTACCCATAACAGCTTTACCCCTAGGTGACATATATTATAAATATCGTTATTGCGTGACTTCTAATATAACTAAAGATGTCAGATAAATTTTATTTTATAGCTAATACATTAAGGAACATGTGTGCCAAATTTTGAATCCTGAGGGTATGTAAATTTTACTATAAGCAAAATATACTAGAGAATTATTTTTATATTTTTTGAGTAAAAAACAGTTTTTTGACAAAATTTATAAAACCAGGTAAGTTTTTTAAAAGATGAACATAGGTAAGAAATTAGATATAAAAATACATCTTCACACCAAATTTAAGGTCTTTATACTCAATGGTTAAAAAGTTATTCGCGTTAACATTGTTACCCCGTCAATCGCTTTACCCCGGTCTCCCCTATATGCTTCAATATATTTAGACCTAGATATCAAGTTTTATTAAGTAAAAGAAAAAACAAATGACTATAGACTATCTTGAGAATTTATGGCATACCCAAAACTCGATTATTTACAATATATTGGAGGCTACGACAATATCTACTGGTTGTAGCTATAACAATGATAATGATAACAATATTGATGATCTGGAAATTTTACTATTAAATAGAGAAAAAAAAATCAAATTATCATCAGATAGAAAAGAGCAAAATATGTCTATTGTATTTTTAATAGAAAAGTTCTCAGAAGTTAAGAGAATAAATTGAGATACAAATATTTTAAAATCTGGGAGGAAAATTCTTTAATATATCCAGAATTATATATTTTGTCTAGAATCGTCATGGGTGTAGCGGCGATACAAGTACAATAATTTATGTATTATAAAAATGACTATCTATTTTGGGTAAGGGTAGAACGTGGATTTTCATTGTTGAAATATATATTGTTAAATTTACGTGGAAATCTGAAGGGTTATATTTTAGAAGATATCATGATTGTGCGATTGAATAAAATATTTAAAATATAAATGATTTCATTTTGAATTATGAATGTGTATATATCTATAAGTATAATAAAAAATGAATGAAAAAAAAGTCTTATTTTGAGTCATTATTTTTATGTTTCCTGAGCCCGGACCCAAAACCTGGACCCGGGTCCTTTTTAAATTTGTTACTGGATCCGAACCCGGACCCTTTTTTTTGTCGAAGGGTGATTGAATATATTATTTTATTTATTTCTTTAAATTTAAAAAAAAGTTATGTGTAAGTTTTATTTTATAAAAGTATTGAAGCTAAAACTAAAAGATAATTTTTTATAATTGTTCAAAATTTATTTTATTTATAAAAACTAATTAATTCTCAATTAATATTAGGTAAGTGAAAGCTAATATGATTAAAAATACAATACATAAATAAACGAATACCTTTAGCCGAGCGATATTTAGTAATAAATATTATTAGGTAATTAGCCGAGCGTATTTAAATAATAAATGATTTATTAGCCGGATGACATTTTCCCGCCGAGCGATATTTAGTATGAATAATTTATTATGTGGTTAGCCGAGCGATATTTAGCAATAAATGATTTATTATGTGGTTGGTTAGCCGAGCGTCAAATCTTTTTTTTCTTTCTTCCTTCTATGCACAAAATCTCCAGGCTTACATATTGGCTACTAACATATCTTTAATGTAGTAAATTAGTCTATAGAAATAGGTATAAATATTAGTTAATTTTTTTAGATATTAGTTATTTAGTAAATAAAATTGAGATTTTTTTAAAATAAATATGAAGAAATAATTAATAATACCAACATTCAAAATGACTTCTATTTAATCATTCTTATATTTTTATACTAAGTAATTAATAATAAATTGCAACTGTAATAGATAGGCGCCGAACTCCGAATTGTCGTCGCGCCGAATTGACGTGGAACCGTAATGGTAGGCTCATAAATGTTAAAATTTACGTTAAAATAAAAAAATATGGCATCTCATTTTTGGTTACACTTTTTTGGCTTACTAATTAACCTGGTAATATTAAGTCTATCGTTTTCAATTGACTCAGCTGGTACCCGGTTTAGAAACAAAGTTAGTTGTTAAATAAAGGAGTACCTTTAAGGATAATTTTATCTACAAAACTAATATAGGTTTATATTTAAACATTAGTTTAAAAATAAAAATAGGAATTTTGTTCTGTATGGCATGTTTTATTATAAATTCAAAGTCCATCCACTGACTTTGTGGACTAGGATCTAGAATCCTGCACGTTGGCCCAAAACCAGACTCAGGCGAAAAATAAATATTTAAAAAATTGGGCCAGTTTTGGAGAAATAAAATTTAGATAGGTCTCAAGTCTAAAAATGAACAAAATTTTTGAGTGCTGGGCTTTTCAAAATTTAGACTGGACCAGACTGAAAAAAAAATTGAATTTGAAAGGATTTATATGATTTTTCATCTTGGTCACAATTTTATTTATATTTAAGCTTGGCCTAATAAAAATTTTGATTATTTCAAGTTGTGATACAAAATTGCTCTATTTGAGCTGATTTTTAAAAACATATACCTCCATATTTTATTCAAAAAAAAATGCTCTCTGATGACACAAAAGCTTGGACATCTTTAGCAAATTCTAGAGGCTTAGGAAATATTCTGGTAAAAATATTGAGTTAACCATTTTTAAAAATTTTTCAAATGTAAGGCCCAGCCTAGACTTTTAAGAAATAGTAAAAATATGAGCAGTAAATAAATGTTGCTATTATATGATTTTCCAATTGATAAGAAAATTTTTTTTTAATAGGCCCAGGTACTGCTTTTGTAAAAAAGGATATTTTTAAGTCCAACCCAAAATATTTTTTTTAACTTAAAAATAAAATAGCGCAAGTATTTTTCTCATGCCTGTCCCCTCCCCCTTCTAAAAAACTGAGGTTACTTTCACTATCCACTCTGGCATCCCATGGAGAAAAATATTCAGATTATCCTCTTGAGCAGCAATAATAGTTGGAAATTGATTTGGGATTCAACAAAATAATAACCAATTAAAATTTATAATTTACTGTTGTTAATGTAGGATCTATTGATAGCAAGTTTGAAATAGCAGCAATATTTGTAGAATTAACAGCATAATGAATAGGTGTTTGTTGGGAAAAACTATTTTTGCCATAAATATTAGATCCAAAATTAATTAATATTCGGAATATGTCAGATGTATAACATTTTTCACAAGCAAGCATCAAAGGACTAAGACCACTTTGATTCGTGTTACCATCAATAATTTTAGACCATTCCAGCATAACATTATTACTTTGATTCAATGGCTTGTCCATATATAAAAATACCTGGTCTCTAAAATTTAAATCAATTTTAAAAGATTCTTCTATATTTATTGAAGTAATTTTTTCTTGATTATGTGTTCTTACATTTTCTTGGTTTAATGTTAAAATTAACACTTTACTTAGTAAGTAAAGTAAAATTGTGGAATGACCAAATTGTGATGCCAAATGCAATGAATTTAAACCTTCTGTATCTGCTAATAAAGGGTTAGCTTTACCTTCAGTAATTAAACACACAACTGCACTTAATTGACCTTGTCTCACAGCCCAGTGCAGAGGTGTAGATAGTAGAATACCACCAGATATATCAACTTGAGCTCCTATCCTAAGATAAAGTTGAATCAGATTAACTCTATTATTGATTGCTGACCAATGAAGTAGGGAACATTTTTCTTGGTCCAAATGGTTAACAATATAATTGTTTATATCTTTATATAATAAATTTTCATGGATATCATGTAGGTTAAATTGCTCATCATTAACATTCCATAATACACTTTCTGTATCATCAAAATCTTTGCGGTTCGAAAATATTAAATAAAACTTATTTAATATTCTTTTAACTCCTGCTACATCACCATATTGGGTAGCTTTAACTAAATTGTTGAAATATAACTCATGCTCAGTGGAAAAAAATATTGTAGGCATTAAAATTTTTAATCCATATGTAAATCAAAGAATGCATGAAATAATTAGCGTTTACTAATATTTAGTGCTAAACTATGACCCATAACTATATAAAAATAAAGATTGTAAATTTTAAATATTTTGAAAATCTATTATGTATTATGAGGACTAGAGTTTGGTATATTAAAAAGGATATATTTTCATTGCTAGCATTTTATTTAAATATCCATATTATCCTAGTCGTTTATAATTGCACCGGTAATGTTAAATGTAACAGATCTCTGCTAAATAAAAAAAATTTTTGTAAGGTTAAAAATCTGGTGGAGAATTATCAATATATAGGATTTTTTAAAGTTATAAAATCTGGAAGGAAAATGACAAGATGATTGGAATTAAACACGATTGGTAATGATGAGGCGTCTCTCTGTTTGGTTAACGCAATTAGGTAGGCTACAAAAATTTGATGATAAGAGTTAGATTTAGCATCTACATGACAGAAAATTTATTGAAGATAGATACCTCCCCCTCAAAAATGCCTACCCTCCTAAAAAAAATTTCGCCATCTTGTACTGTGATATTCCCATCTATTATGAGTTTGTAATTATAATTTTGTTCATCTTATATATCTTGTAAATAATGATCTTAAATTATCAATAATCTACTCCAAACTAAAAATTGTTAACTACTCCTACTCAAGTATAGCCTGCTTTGATTTTTTGTTAAAATTTTATTGCAGAATTAGGTCGCATTATAATCCCATAGTTGTGCATTTATGGTGATAATTTAGGGAAAATTACTAATATAGGTTGAGGAAGAGATGAATTGAGAGTAAATGTTATATTGGATTGATGTTTTTCTAATAATGATAAATATGAGAAATGGTTTAAAGGTACCAAATTATTTCTTAGATGACGAGTTACACCAGAAAGTTAATCAAGAATATTGATTAGTTTGGCTGTATGAGAATTAAGATTAGATTTATAAGGCAAAATAAATATAGTTTTATATTTTCAGACTATTAAATTCTTTGATCCCATTATTGATTGCCATATTTTTTCGTGCTAAAATTTAAGGAACCTACCAATGATTGAGGGTATTAAAATCAAGAAGATACTCTGGTGTATAGCGATAAAAACATGGTAGTCTGCAACCTTTGGATGCGTTTAAAAGGTTAGGTAGCTAATAAATATCAAAAAATGTAGTATGGTTAGTTGTGAAGTGTTTCTCTCTAGAGGATAAAGGAGGAGGCAAAGTATAATGAGCATAAGTCAAGCTTGAGTTAAAACAAATGATCAAAAATATATTTGCTTAAGGTCAAATCATTAAAAACACCCATATTAAACAAGGCTTATTCATGTAGAATAGTTGTTTTTATTTCATGAACATATATAGGAATAAGATTGACCATTTATTGTGGCATAATTATAATCACACTGGTTAATTTGTTTAATATATATTTGATACCATTTACGTATGTATTTTGCTTTTTTATTTAAATATCAGCTGATTGGTGGATGTTTTTAAATGATATAAATCTATCTTATTTTTTATAAAATTTTATGTTTTTAGTAAATTTTAAATAAATCGCAGGAATAGAATTCTAATAATTCTATTTTTCAGAAATGATTATATGACATTGATTAATTTAAAATTCTCAGACTAAATAAATGAAGGGATACGTCTTATTAGCAAAATAATATAATTTAGTGCAAAATGCATGTTAACTTTATCATAGAATTATTCTTTGCAGAAATGTATTGTATATTCTGTATCTAATTTTCACATAAATAAGGCGGAGACCTAGTTAAAAGATAATTATTAAACAGTCAAATTTAAAAAGGATAATCAAATTGTATATTTTTACCTATAAATAAGTAATCAATTTATTTTCACTTTTACCGTATTCACATTTTACATTGAAATAACCATTTTTTCAACAAAACATACATATAAATATAAAATCATTTTTGATTTTTACACGAAATACTTTCTATAATATCGCATTTTTTGGGACATTGATTCGTTAATATATCAGGTGCACCGTTTTGTGTAATTAAAATGTCGTCTTCGATTCGCATACCATATCCACTCAATTCTTTGGGGAACTCGGTGTCGTGTAATGGAATATAAACGCCTTTAATTCAAAAAAAAATAAAGGATCACACTTTCTAAGAAATCGTTATCAATTTTTCATAAAAAAAAAATATTATATGTCGCAACAGGAAATTCTTATTTATGGAAATCTTAAAAGGGAATTAATTACAAGTGTTCCTTTGAAACACTCCCTTATCCCTCTTAACTTCCTTTAACAATTTCAGGACATAAAATATAAATTTATCAAACTTGTAAGTAAAATAATTATAAGCAGAATACTTTTAGTTTTAGGTATAATCAAACAAACCCTAAAGCTCAAATTTGAAAAGTAAGGAAAACTAGGGAATCCTGATGTTAAATTTTTAACAATAAAACATAGTATTAAAGAAAATATATTTTTATAAATAATACATTTTAAAAGAGGTAAGGAAAGTAGAAGCGACGAAAAATAAAAGGTTTCAAATAACTACATATATAAATCAAGCTGTATCAAAAATCACTTTAAAAAAATTTTAATGAAATCGTATGTTAATTTTTATGAAATTTACAAAATTTTCTAATTATTTTTTGAACATGTTTTTATTTTTTATTAATATTTGGAATATTTGTCAATTTAATTTTCTGCTGTTTTGGACATAATTAATTTAGAAGACTACCGGACATAAATATCTTGGACATATAAAATGAGCCCTGGACAAAAAAGAGCATCGGGCGAAAGGATAAAATTTACCTTTTTTATAATAGAATTTTTAAAATGCTTAGAAAAAGATAAATTAATTTTTTATTCTACAATTCAGGCCTTTTAGGGTAAACATAGAGTAAAAAAAATTAAATATTTTGAAATGATAAATTTAGGATAATAGGAGATCTTAGTTTCCCTAGTTCCATGTCGAATCGCGACTAGCCCACCCCATTCAATTTTTAAGCTATTTAATTTAATACAAATTAAGGTTCGAGTAACCTATATTTGAGAATAATTTCAGCCTCCTAACTGTTAAACATTTGGAGATATCAGTGGTAAATGCATGAAAAATGCAACTTTTTATGAATACCGGTTTTCTTTTAACTAATATTTGATTAAAAACTACACTTGTAAATAATAAATTTATTTTTAAAATATATCTTATAACTTAATATTTTAAGAAGATAACTTATTTTTAAAAAATTTTTTGTATCTTATGGGCTAGGTACAAAATATATCTAAACAGTTTTTTTAAAAAAATATTAGATACCTTTATATTAAAGCGTGGGCTTAGTGTCACAAAATATATTTTTAAAAGTCGTAAAAAAATTTAATAAATAAGTTATACAATTCCTATATTTGCTCGGCTTGAATAAGGCCGTTAAGATTTAAGGCTATTTATCCAAAAAATATTTTTTTAAATTAAATGTCATAAAGGTTGAATCCTTCTAAGTAAGTTTACATTATATAATTTTTCAAAATATTTAATGTTTTTGCCGGCTCATTTTTAAACCCTCGGCACTGGGGTTGAGATGTATAGACCTCTCTTCAACCTAGCCACACTCAAGAGATAGGTTTAAACAAAAAATGAAAATAATTACTTTTGGGGGGTGACGATAAGCCCTAAACTTTAACAATGAGACCAAATTTCGTTAAACGATTTTTTTAAATATATAATTAGCCCTCTAACCCATATCTTTCTAAACCTTTATATCTCTTCTTTTGCTACCTTCTCGAGTTGGTTGATTCAGAAAAAATGGACACCGGTGAAATCGAACCACCGATATTCTACGCTTCGCTTGGTATCATGCATAATTCTAAACTTCTCAAACTCATAGCTGGCATTTTTTTTTTAAAGTTACTTTTTTTGTGTATTATCTTATAATCAATTAATGATTTATCAAATGATAAAAATAACTTCCATTAAAACGAGTTTTTCTCATATCATTTACTCTTTTCCAAGCATTTAAAAAATTTATTAACATTGGGGTATTTTATAAGAATCGATATTATTATAAAAATCTCTTGACTAATTTTAAATATTATGTTTTGTAGGTTTAAAAATATAATAGAAATCGCAGTTTTAGTTTCAATAAAAAAAACTTATTTTTGATTTAAATATTTGTTACCAAAGGGTGAAATCGGCCCGGTGTTTAAGAAATGTTTTTTATAAAAAATAAATTTCACATTTTCTTAATTAAAAAAGGCATTTTTTCCAGAGGGTATTTCTGTCCAGGAGCATTAACCTTCAATATTTATTTGTCCAGGACATTTATTAAATTTTGGGGTTTAAATGTTAAATGAATTTTTTTTACGCATATCGTTTTGAACTTGAATAAATTCTTTTATTTTTTTTGTAAAAATTTATTAATAAAATATTATAATAAAGGTCCGCTTCATTTGAAAGACAACTTAAAATTTGCTAAATTTTATACATAAAAAATTAAATTCCAAATATAAAGATTTTATTCTAAAAAAAATTAATAAAAATTCAAGATCTAAATAAAACCTGGTTCTATAGTTATAACCATACCCGGCTGCAATGGCTCATCTCTCGATATCAAATGACAATCGTGAACGTCCAGACCTAAATGATGCCCTATGTGATGAGGGCACAACTTAGATACCATCTAAAGAAGAAAGAAATTACATTTAATAATAGATAATTTTGATGATATTTAATATTTGAAAGCCGGAACAACCCGATAAAAAATAAAATCGTGTTAAAACTTTAAACTAAAACTCGGAATTAAACTGACCCGCTATATTTAACGGTTCAATCGACACCCCGATTACAAATAGTAAACCTGAAATTTCTCTTGATAAGTTAAATGAGCGGGGAGCAACTTAATTTCCTCGAAATATTTAATCATAAATTGATACATTCTGACTAGGAGTTCATTTAGAGATAACTGACTCGGTTTGCACAAATCGATACACCTAATTTGAACCTAATATTTAAAAAATAAATAAATGTTAATTTTTGATTTATAAAAATTTGAGTTTCTTTTTTTCCAAGTGGAATTATTCACTTATATTTCGATATTATTATATAGTGGGTTTGTTAACCACAGAATTTAAATGTAATAAATAAAAGTCATTTTTCAAATTTTAAAATTTTTTTAAAACATTCATTAGATTCAGTTATCTGTAGCACCGCACAAAGTTACTTTTGAAAAGTTAGTAGTTACAAACATATTTTGTATACTTCGTTGCCGCGAAATTGTGATAACTGTGAATACAGGGTAAAACATTTCATTTCAGAAATAAATAAAAAAGACCTCTAATAAGGCTTCATACAATTCTTTTTGCGCGGGAGTGAACTTACCGATTATGGGCCAAGTACGAGAAATGTCGCTGCAATAATTTTGGTATTCGCACCTACAAATCAAAATTTTTATAATAATTTATAATAATTCTTTATTACCCTCCCCTCCCCCTCCCTTCCTTATCTATCTTACTGTTATTAATTTTTTGTTGTTATTTACATATCAAGCAATAATTATGCCCTTCTCAATAAGTTATATTCGTTTTTTTTACATTTATTTATAAACGCATGAATGAATATTTGAAATTAGGAGGTATAGAAACCGTTACTATTCTGGGAGCGTTATAGGAAGTTGTAGGCCAATTAAAAAATAAGCAAGAATAACGAGGTAACCGTTTTATGTCCCAAGAATTAAAACATTTATTGCATTTGTAAAATAAATTTTTGATGGTTAGGTAAATATGTACTAGTTAGAGGTAAAATCCAGTAGGGGAGGTGGGACAAAAAAAGATAATAGTGTGGTCAAGAAAAATAGGTGGAATAACATTATACACTATTTTTGTAAAAGGACAAACAAACAACTTTTTTTAATATTTAGATAAAATTACTTGTTAGCGCCTTTTTTTAGTATAAAATTTTTTAATGCACCTTTTTGTTCTATCATATATAAAGGGACCTAATTTTTTTCAATGTTTATTCGTTCTTTTTTTTTTGGGATAAAATTTGAAAACTTGTTTCAAAGGAAAATTATTTTGAAGTTTTCGTTCTTATAATCGTGATATTATTATAATAATTTTATAAAAAAGAGAAAATTTTCAAAAAATAAATGATTCTCGCATTTATTCATTATCCGTTCAAATTCAAACTCAATTTCAATTAGCGTTGTTAAACGGCTCGTTTTGAGCCGATTTTTAAAAACGACTAACTCAATATTTTAGCCAGAAAAATAATGCCTAAACCCAGAGATTTCGATAATACATGTATAGACCTTTGTTCCTTCAATGAGCAAAATCTTCAGGCTTGCGTAATATTTTTCTGGATGAAGTATTGAGTTAGCCGTTTTTAAAAATCGGCTCAAAACGAGCCATTTAACAACACTACTTTCAATAATAAATTAATTTTTTAAATAAAATTTTGACTTTAGACGCACCTAAGAAAATTAATATGTTAAATTTGTGTTTCACTAATTTACATTACAAAAAAAACATATATTTAACATGACCCTGACTAGCTATCAGGTATGTTCCAAGGATTCATAGACCCTTCCTGCAATTCTATCCGTCACTGATATGCTGATTTATCCCTTTTTTCAATCACTGAAGAACACAATGAAACATTTACAAAACATTTCGATATTTTTTAAAAAAATATTGTTATATTAGCAGTATAGAAAAAGAAAAAACCCGGCATCCATAAGAACTAACGAATCCTTCGCTGATATCATACAATTATTATCGATGTAGTGAATAGTGCAGGCCCTGTTTCCGCCTGCCACCACGGGAATATAGGCTGATCCGCTGCTCATTCGTTTTTTGCATTCTAGCTCGAAATTGGTTTCTAAAACAGATTCTGGGACCTTTAAAATAAATTTTATTTACCATGAATTTAAAAAATATATATTGTCTCCTTTGAAATTCAACTATTTTAAATAAAATATATTATTAAACTAATGATAAAATTTTATTGAGTAAATTACTAAACAGTTCAATAACTTTAAAAAATATATATTTATGTGAGCGGGGTTAACTTGAGGATATGAAAACTCCATGGTATGGATAAAGGCGTGAGACGCGATCTCGCAAGCTTTCCTCATGAGTTTCTGTTCGTTAGCAGATTTGATGACCCTCAATTTCTGAATCAAACCATCTAAACGCTTATCCACTCTAGCTCGGTACTCGTTGTTTATTAATTGATGCAGTCCCTAATGTAGGCAGAAGAGCTTACTGTAATATAAATTGTCTTTAAGATAGATTCAGTTACATATAATACTATCTAGAATGACATATGTCATTAGACGATTTCAGGCAAAACTATTTAAGGTTTTAAATTATGAGTTGGGAAGAAATCTTTAAAATATGGATTTTTTTTGTACGAATCACAGAACCCTATCAATTCAATTTTTTCTCAGTCCAAGCCCAACCTAAAATGTTTATTCTTAAGCGGGGTCTAACAAGTTCCAATCAGCGGGGCTAGCTTTATGGCCTATCTCTAGGAGATATGGCCATAGATCCATAGACGTTTATTATTATAGACTGCTCAACGACTAAAAAAATGTGTCTAAAAAATCACTATTTGCAAAGAAACAACCTTATGTTTATAAAGATTTTAAGGTTAAATATATCATGTATTTATAATTTTATTTAATACGCATGTTATTGCAAGATAAAATATTTAATTTTTCAAAAAGATATTGTTGTATCTGTCGATATGTAATTGACATATCGACGTTTTCAATATATTTTATATAAGAAAAATAAATTTAGAGAGCAAAACAAGTCGACATAATTCATGGAGCGATAAATTAAGGAGTGAAACCAGGAGCGATAATTTAAGGAGCGAAATGAGGAGAAACAATTATAGGAGCGATAATGTGAGGAGCGCAACCAGGGAAGATAATAGGAGCGGAACCAGTGAGGATAATTTAAGGAACAAAATGGGAAGAAGCAATTATCGAAATGAAGTAGGGGAAAGAAATTCTAGTGGAGAAATAAAGGAGAATAAAGTTTAAAAAAAGATATATAACAATTACCCGGGGCAGGTGGGATCTGCTAAGGAGGGTCCTGATATTAGGAGAATGGAGGAGGAAGGAGAAATTGGGAAAGGGAGGTAGGATGGCCGCAAGAACGGCAGAGAGTGGTGCCGGCGAAGATGTCAGAGAATCGGGGAGAAAGGGAGGACAGGACACCGACCAGTGAAGAAGAATTGATAATTAATGGGGAGGAGGGAAGAATTGTCTATGATCCAAGTGCAAGAAGGAGTTCGGAGATTAGTGCAAAGTTATCAGGAAATTTTTAACGAAGACTTGGGATGCCTCAGAGATCATGAAGTAGACATTAAATTAAAAGTTGGTCATGTTCCAAAATTTTGTGCGTTACGACGAATTCAGTTTGAATGGAGAAAGGACGTGGAACTGGAATTGGATCAATGGGTACAAAGAGGAATTGTTTGTCCGGTAGAATACAGTGAGTGGGCAACTCCACTGGTGCCTGTGAAGAAAGCCAATGGAAAACTTCGTTTGTGCGCGGATTTTCGAGTCACGTTAAATCCATGGGTTGTGGAGGTCAAATATCCGTTGCCAAGGATTGAAGAAATATTAGCCAATTTAAAGGGAAACGTTTATTTTTCAAAGGTCGATTTTTCTAATGCTTATCTACAATTACGTGTAAGACCGAAGGTTAAGAAATTATTAACTATTACCACGCCTAAGGGATTGTTCGCGTTCTGTATATTACCATTTGGAGTTAGTGTTTCGGCTCCTATTTTTCAACGTACCATGGCGGCCGTTTTCCAAGGAATGGACGGGGTGTTTTATTATATGGATGATGTGTTGGTGACGGGTAAGACGCCCGAACAGCATGAGAGGAGATTGGAGGAAGTATTTCGACGAATCAAAGGAAAAGGATTGAGGGCAAGCGCGGAGAAAAGTGTATTGGGGGTTACTGAAGTAACATATTTGGGTCATAAGATCACGGGAAAGGAGGTACGGCCTTTGGACCGAAATATGACAGGTATTAATAATATGATAAGACCTAGTAATAAGGCTAAGGTACAGGGGATGGTAAATTATTATCATCGGTTCGTGGAAGGATTTGCGCAAATAGCAGCGCCTTTGTATCACTTGTTAAAGAAAGTGGGAAAATTTGAGTGGACGGGTGAGCAGGAAGAATCTTTCAAAGAATTTAAATGTAGAATAGGGAAAGAACCTGTGTTGGTATGTTTTAATAATAATTTGGAAGTCATATTAGCGGTGGATGCGTCTAATAAGGGTGTAGGAGGAGCATTGTTACATTATATTGATGAAGTTGAAAGGCCTGTATTATTTTTCTCAAGGATATTTAGGGCAGCAGAGATGAAGTATTCAGTGATTGAGCAAGAGGCATTGGCCGTTATTTTCGGCCTAACTAAGTGTCGCGAATATTTAATTAAACGCAGATTTGTTATTTACACGGACCATAAGCCGCTTGTGCATCTTTTCAAAAAAAACAATAAAGAGTTAATGCTACCCCCCCCCCGTTACAAAGATGGTTGCTGCTAATGGGAAGTTTTGACGTCCAAGTAAAATATCGCAGAGGGATTGCACAGATGCGGAGCGGGGGAAGATTTCGGGGAAAAAGAGCAGGAGAAAAGGGAAGAAGAAAGGGAGCAGGGATTGATTAGGACTATGGTTGGAATATCTAGAGGCGGGCCGGTAACGTGGGAGGAAATTAAAGGGATGACTTTGAAAGATAGAGAATTGAGGCGGATCAAAGCTGTCTTAAGGGACGTAAAATTTGGCAAGATGGGGATAAGACCTTTAAATATATACAAAAGGAATTGGCCATAATAGATGAATGTGTGGTGCGAGGAAATAGGAGTGTTATACCAGTTAAATTAAGGGAGGCTGTAAAGGCAATGATTCATGCGGGACATCAAGGAATAGAAAAAATGAAACAATGGGGAATATGTTTGGTGGCAGGGAATGAACAAGGACATTGAAAATGAGCGTGTGTTAGATGTAATTCTTGGGCTCCGATGCCTCAAAAAGATAGGGGAAGTTAATGGCCAAAGGCAACGCAGCCCTGGGAGCGCATCCTTTTCGATTTCTTTGACTTCGAGAATAAAATATATATAATATATATTGGTGGTGGATGCTTTTTCGAAATGGGTAGAGTATGAGGAAGTGTAAGGGTTAACTACTCAAATTGTAATGAGAGTGTTGAAAAATTTATGGGCCAAATTTGGAGTTGCTATGACTGTAGTCTCGGATGGGGGTCCTGCTTTTATTAGTAAGCAATTCAAAGCCTTTTGCGTAGAAACGGGAGCGAAACATATTGTGGCGCCGCCTTATCATCCGACTTCGAACTGACAAGCAGAAAGGATGGTAGCTGTGGTCAAGAATTGGCTGAGAAAGTCAAAGGATGGAGGTGGAGAGATGTGGGTAGCCGTGGCGTATTATAACAATAGTAGAAAAGGGAAGGAATCGTCTTCGGCGGAGAAGTTTTTAAGACGTGGGACTAGAATTTGGCTGGATACGTTTAGGCCGGCAGAGCAAGGAAAGGAAACTCTCGGAAATGGAGGATTCCCTGGAGTTTATGAGTGGACAGACTGTATGGGCAAGAATATTCGGAAATAACAAAAGATGGGAGCCGGGAGTGATAGTGGAGAATATGGGACGAAAGAATGATGCCTCTCAGAAGAAGCTGGATATATGAAGACATACAGATAGAACTAATTTTGAGCCCTAGACAGAGGTTATTCCCAGAGAATGGATTACGAGCGTCCGTGAATACAATAGGAGGGAGAAGAGGATCAGGGACGGAATATTGGCTATGCTATAACTGTGGGGAGCGGGGACATCTTCAACGATGGTGTCCGTGGAGCGGGTATCATAGGCCAGTGGAACCGATTAGGGGATACGAACGATAGGAGTATGATCCGGACACAGGAAGATGGGGAGATCCCGATCCTGCGGATGGAGTTGTGGAAGCGACTCAGAAACGGGGAATGACAATAGTCAGCCAGATTCGGATGTGGAATTGATGAGGACGGAAAATCACCTGGAGGCTCGAGGTGGAGCTGAGGATGAACAAAGCAATGAGGAAGGAGTGGAGGAGTCAACAATCCTGGAGTCGTTGAATGTGGAGGAGAATGGAGAGGAGTGGAGAAAGAGTTGAGAGGATATAATGGAATTCTTGGTCAGGGAAGAAGATAATTTTTTTTAGGGATGGACCTGTGCTATATTCTTATTTTTTATTAGATAATTAATTTGTATTAGAATTGTTTTTATAATTATTTGTGTTTAATAATTATGTTTTAGTTGTAAAAAAAATAAATATTTATATATAGAAAAAAAAAGATTATTATATGATTCATTCGTTTAAAAAAAAAGAGTTTTTATTAGAACTGATATTTTTTTTTAATTTAGTTAAATTAATTATTTTTTTTGCAAATTCCAGGGATTAATCAAAGGCCATAAGGGCAGGTGTGCATCAGAGCAAATTCCAGGGATTAATCAAAGGCCATAAGGGCAGGTTTGCATCAGAGCAAATTCCAGGGATTAATCAAAGGTCATAAGGGCAGGTTTGGATCAGAGCAAATTCGAGGAATTTAGTACCCGAAAGGGCAAGTACTCGAAAGTGCTGCCCAAAGTTGTGCGTGTAACAACATATTAAGTACACGGAAGAGCTGCCCAATACGAAAACGCAATAATCAATTTTATTTCTTTTTTTCTCTATATATATATCTATTTAATTATTGCATAATAATAAATAACATCGAACCCCAAACAATTCTCATTTTAAAGAATCACTATTTTAATTTATTCGCTTGTTTTAAAATTAATGATAAAATTTCTCCTTTCTTTAGGATAAAAAAAGGTGTAAAACAAGGCTGCGCCCTCTCACCTAGCTCCTTTTCAATATGATAATCTATAAAATCATATAAGATGTACTAGGTGCAGCTGATTTAGTTGATATTGGGTCAAACGAGAAGATATTTTTTGTAAACAGAATAATATCCTATGCAGACGATATTGTGGTAATATCCAAGAATATCGAAGAAACCAAAAGTCTACTCTATCTAATAGAGACCGTGAGCCAAAGAGTAGGACTTGTGATTAGCTATTACGAATATTATAAACATTAAAAAAATAAAACAATGTCCGGGAATTACTAGACAGGCATTACTAAGCTGTTTTATTTTTATTCTTTTATTTTTATCATGTATGTTAATGATATGTTGAAAGGAAAAACATTTCCGAAATCTGAAGGAAAAAACATGAGATATCAGATATGTTCAAATCAAATAACAACAATAATAAAATAAATCAAGTGAAAAATAATAAATAATAATATAAAATGTAATGTACAAAAACAAACAAAAATAAGATAAAAAGTAAATAATAAGTTATCTAAAAAAATATAAAAATAAATAATAAATTATCATAAAACAAGTCCAAAGATTAGATATAAATTATGAACTCACTGAATCACGAGAAAATTTTTAATATTTAAAGCTTCTGGATTTTGGTATAAATTTTTTAATGTAATAATAATTAAAAATTTCATTACTCAAAAGTTTTAAGAATTTTGCATACCTCTTTGGTTCAATTGGCGTAATTTTTAGGTTATTTTTTTTATTAAAAAATAATAAATAAATGATCGTCTGGATTTTGGTAGAAATTTTTTAATGGAAGGGGTAAATTAAATATTGATAAATCTTAAAATTAAATATTTTTCCAAGTTATAACAATCTAAATGAAAATGGATATGATCATTACTCTGTCAATCATAGCAAAAACTTTATAGACCCTAATGATATATCAACCCACACTCAACGTATTAAGCGTTTATGGAGGGATCTTAAGGCAAGCATCCTCAGAAATGGAAGAAAATCTTCCTCTCATTTATATATATGTGAATATTTCTATTTTCGTAATATTAAAAATATGTCTAATATAAATAAATTAATTTTTAAATGATATAAATTTTTATAGAACTATTATTGTTTTTCCTTAAAAATATATATCTATATTATCATTGAAAATCGCGATTTTTGGAAGGCCTCTACGGCCTAGTAGGCAATATCTTCGCTTACTGATCCCATGGTCACGGGTTCGAATCCCGGGAATGATCATGTTTTTTTTTCTTACTCTAACTTTGTGGTTCCATCCTTGGGGAATGATATTTAGGAGGCCGGACTCGACCAGGTGATTCCGTTATTAAATAATAAGGGTCTTATTACATTTTAATAAATTTTGGTCGGTTTAAATTAGGTTGGTATTTAGAATATTTCCATACATACACTTGGTAGTAAGCATCATCCCAAAAAAATATCCAAACGATCTTATATTTATTATTTTTTATAAAATAAATAAATAAAAAATAAATAAATAAAAAATAAATAAATAAAAAAATATTTAAATAAAATAAAACAATAATATTAAAAATTTCCCCGTGATTCAATGAGTTACCAAATTATGTATATTTCATTTGAATCCAAGACTTATTAAAATTTCTTTTAAGCCTTTGGCAATAATATGATCAGTTCCTTATAGAAAGTTTATACGTAAATTAATCTACTTAAAACTTCGTACACTTAAGGAACAACATTGTATTAAGGTGATATAATAAATTTAAAAAAATGAGGGTGCTTATTTCCTCCATTTTATATTAGACACTAAATTAAAAGAGGAAAGATACAAATCTAACTTTAAAGTTATAAAATCTAAGATATTATACAATTTAATTAGAAGTATATATGTGTATTTTGTGACATATAGATATATCTTATGTTCCTTATCTCCAACTTTAATAAATTATATCTTATCTCCTTATCTCCAACATTAAATAAGTTTACAGGGGCCATGTTTATGTTATAGGGATAGGAAACTGTTAAAATTTAAAATATAAATCTTAAACATTATCATTTTTAAGGGTTATATTGTAAGGATATATATGTCTTATTTCGGGTAAAAAACTATTAAATCAAAGGAAGGAGGGGGAGGGGTATTTTTAAGAACAATTGTTTTTTTTTTATTAATAGAGGAAAACTTTTTAAAAAATATATTATTTATATGGCATCATTTCCTAATTACGTTTGCTGTGTATTTGATCCTAGGATTAAGAAAAAATATTTGCCGCCGATTTTAAATGCATCCGAATACGAAAGGTTCAAGAATTAATTTTTTGAATATAAATATCTGCATCTAGATCCATTTAAAAAGTATCTGTTAACAACTCTGGTGATTATATACATAATAATAATTTGTATAATTCTTTATGAATTTGATTTCTTTTATAAATAATATATTTTTAAATATAAAATCGGCTCAGGAGTCGGCTTAAACGGCTCATTGAACCGCTCGCTATGTGATTATATTTTTGCATAAAAAATAAATTACGATCCAATATATAATATATAACAAAACAGATGTAAAAAATACATTATAATTTTAAAAAATTTAATATTTTGATTTTCGTTTTTTCTATTCAAATTTTCTACATATTCTTTAAATAAATTTCAAATTATATTTTTATAAATTTACCTTAATTCATAGGTTATATTCGATAACCAATCTCCAAATATTGATATATCTTATTAAAATAATTTGAAAAGTCATAAGGAATAGTAAATTCATTAAGAATTGATGTTACATTATGAACGATTTAATGTGTTTGGTCTGGGATTGATTAACAGATATTTGTTTTTTAATACTCAAAAGAAATTTTTTATTGGGTTAAGCTGAGGTGAAAAGGGTGGTAAATATTCTATTAGATCTTTAAAGCATCAATGAGATGTTTTTTATGGATAGATGCATTGTCCATAACAACTGGACCACTCGATATGATATTAATAAGTTCCATCATATAGTCTCAAAATATCAGACTATTATAAAATCCTTTGATGATGCGATAAAATATCATACCTTCGATTTTAATAGCACATAATATACTTATATTTTTACCCTTAGATGGTGGAACTTTCATGGTTGACGTAACGTTATATGGGGCCCAGGTGTAAACAGGCACAACATGTAAATTTATGCCTGTCTCGTCTAAGAAAAATTTCTTTCTTTGGCTATATTCAATATTTTTATACAATAAATTTGGCGTATATTGATAGCGTCCGGTGTGTTTCTCCTATCAGATTCTTATCCTGCACGTTTTTTGCACCAATTTTTTAAAATATATTTTCTTATAGTTCCTTCGTTTTTAGGAAATCCCGAAGATAAATTTTCTATAATATCTTTAATTGTGAATGTATTGTTAGCCATTAAAAGAATTATTATTTTTCTTTCTGTATTGAAGGTATCTTTTTTCTCTACCTCTCTTTTCAATTACATAATATGTGTCTCCTATGATTTCGGGAAATGTTTCGCGTCTTAATTTATTTATAGACGATAAAGACATATCTATATACTTTGTGATATCTTTTATTTTCATTCGCTCTCTCTCAGGTACAAGTAATAATTTTTTTGCAATAACTATTTTTGTCTTATTCCAGTTTTTATATTTCCTTCTTGGAATTGCCATGACTAAATTTGTTGGATCGATAATAGAATCACCACTTAAAGAGGGTGAATTAATAATATGGAAATTATTTGTAGATGATATATTTAGGTATTGAATTAGGTAAAAAAAATCAGGAATTGATAAAAATGAATTTGTATTATTTGTGTTACTAGATAAAATTTGTCGTATATTAAATATTGAAAAAAATATTTAATTGCATTTAATAAAAAAATTAAATTATACAAAAATAGAATACAAAAAAATTACAGTAAACTTTATACCATAGGTATTTTTTTTTAGTGTTTGTTTTGTTATATAATAATGGATAGTCATTTATTTTGTAAGTAATGTGCAAAAATATAAACACACATTGTTTTATTTATTAATATTTTATTACAAATATACTATTTACCCTGTAAACATAGACTTATTAAAATGAATGTTATATCTTTGCAAACTGCCAAATGAGCAATGTTTTTATAGTATTATAAAATTGGGCATTGAGGCAGACTATATTAATATAAGTCTATGCTTTTTTAAAAATATTTGTTTTATATAATCTACAATCCTTAAAAAAATAAATGATACCTTAATTTAATAAGGATATTTATATCATTATTTTTCAAAAAAAGAGGAAGTAATTTATTGTATACATTTATATGTTTGGCATGTATTTTGCCTGTATAATCTTCATCAAAAAAAGAACACCAAACAGTAGATTCACAAGGGCCAGACAAAAGTTTATTCATGTATTGGGTCATTTCAGATACATCATTAATACTTTCAATACCTATATTATATTTTTTGTACACAAATATTAATCTTATTAGTAGAAACATAAAATATTCCTGGACTTAGTTAATGGATGGATGGCGTAAAGCCAAATAAGATATTATAAAACAATTGCTATATAAACATCTTTTTATAATTATTCTGATTATAAATTAAGAACAGTGCTAGGTTAAACATCTCATAAAAAAATTTTACAATTAAGATATTTCTAAGCACCTAAATTGTGATGTCCAGAACAGGAAAAACTAATCTGTGCAACTCTTACTGAAAAAAGTAAGGCATCAAATATTCTCATATTTTCGTTGAAAATATATTCCTCTTAATTATCAAAAGCCCTAAACCCATCTCAGGTTCATTTAAATTAAAAAATAAGTTTCAAAGTATTCCCTTTTTAATTATAAATTTTTCAAAAATTTGTGGCCACTACCTTTTATTTAAATTTTTCTTTTTTAAATATTGTTATTTTTTAAAAAAAACCCTCTCTAAAAAACTAAAAATTCCAATCCATCTGTGATATAAATAATGAATACTTCCAAAAATAATATATATCAATTAAATGATTAATCTTTGAAAGATTAGTAAAATATTTAAGATTAAGATATTCTTACCTAGGTTTTTTGATAATGTTGTCTTATCTGGATTAGGACCTTCCCATATCTCAAATTCTGATGATTTTTGAGTTATAAATAAAAGATGTTCATTTTTTGTTAATATTAAAAATGAATCAGAGCCTTGATAACCACAGAGATATTGAAAATTAGTGCTCTTAAATATTGATAAGCTTATATTAGTTAAAAAATATTTAACCTGATGGAATTTATAAGGAACATCATGCATTTTAAATATTTTACTTTGAGAAGGTACTATAATAATTGAATTATTTACACTATTCAATTTATTAACTATATTTAATAATTTCTCTCTCCTTTCTCTTTTTATATATAGATAATTATTTCATGTATATGTAATATTTATATATACTTATATTCATCTTTGGATATATAAATATTTTCATTACATATATAAAGGTCGGTATCAAAGGATGTTTGCATATATACAGACTTATGGTAATTTTTTGCTAAGATTCCATAATTTTTATCAAAAAACTTTTTCAGGTTTTTAAAAAACATTGTTTGGATCGATGCATCAATGTAAGAAATATATCTTTGCTTCGGTTCGGTAGTAAAAAAATTATTAGTTTTATAACTGTCAGTATCTAGATTTTTTTTTGAGATATATACTAATTAGATATTAATTAATCTTCATTTAAGCAGACCAAAAAATTGCGCAATAGTATAATTCAGGTTGTTGAATATTTTGGTATATATAGACTTGGTTTTATTCAAGTTGCAGCAAGAAAAAATTATAAAGGTTCCGTTAAGGATAAGGAATTAAGTTTTGTAGAAGTTTTAAATCAATTTACTTTCAAAATTCTTAAAATAAAAATCCCTTAATTTATTATTTATACAAGAAGTGCTGCTAAACGGCCCGATGTCGATATTTTCTAATAGCCGATCAATATTTTACAGAATAATATTATGTAAACCTGGAGATTTTTCTTATAGATGACAAAAAGTTGTTATCCTCTTTTTACTAAATCTTGAGGTTTATCCAAATCGGGCCGTTTAACAACACTAACACACATGTGACTTTATAAATAATTTTAATCTTATATAATATATGTAGAGTAATAAAAAGAATAAAACACAGTTTAAAGTTAACCAAAATTTTTATTTGTATGTAAAATTTTGATTGAAAAGTAAAATTAAAATATTATCAAAAATTTCTTTTTGTTTCTTGTTCTTCTATGGTATTAGAACATATATCTCCTTATCTTAGTAATACGGGATAGTAACAACAAAAACATTAGATTAGTTGATGATATTCAAATGGTTAATACTTTAACTATAAAATTATTCCAGAACGGAACGTGTATAAAGTCAAACTGTACTAAAAGGTAATAGGCGTTAATTCTGCATTAAAATCAAAAGATTTATACATTTTTTAAAGGGGAATCCTTTTACATCTTATTATTGGTGATAAATTATTATAATCTAAAATTTTTTTATTGTTTGAGAAATATTTGTCGTCAGCGATGTTATCTTGCCTTATATAGAAAAAATTAATTAAAATCATTAAATTTATCATCAAAATTTTTTTTATTTCGCAGTTACTTATTTTCTTTCTTGCTTTGCTTAGAAAATGTTTTTGCTATAATATTTTTAAAAAACAGCGAAGAAAAATAAAACAAAAAAAACGAAGCTTAAATATTATTTTAACTTATTTTTAAAATAATTCCCTCGAAAAAAAAAGAGTTATTTAAATAATAAAATTTTTAATAAAGTGGCTAATTATTAAATTATTGTGATAATGAAAAATTTACAAATAAATTATATTTTCTATAAAAATTATAATAGTAATTTTTTAAAAATCTAAAATATCAGGAAAAATAATATTTATTTCTTCCTCTAAAAAATGGTTCTTTATAATCCCTAATATAAAATTATACGTTAATTGCTTTCTTGTTATATTTAGAAAAAATCGTAATCAAGGAAACAACGGTTAACATATATTTTTATTATTTTTATAAAAGAAAATTTGTTTAAAATAAAAGAGATAAACCTGCCTAATATAACATTTTAAATTTGATAAAAAGTGGTTAGGGTTAAATTAAAGGTTAGTGAGATTTGATTAAGATTTGAATGAAAATTTTAACAAGATTAATTAATAATATAATGGTTTAAGAAAAACTTTTCTTTAATGTGGGCGCATGGTTTGGTATTAAAATCCTTTTTCAGGGCCGTAGCCAGGAATTTTCACTTAGGGGGGCCAAGTGCTAACTTGGGGGGGGGCACTATTTTTTTAAAATCAAACAAATAATTACGCATTCATAGAAATTTTTTCCTATTTTTATTAAATATTTAATAACAAAATAATACTATAATATGAATATACAAAAAAAAATAATACTATAATATGCATATACAAAACAAAATATTACTATAATAGAATACGGCGATTTTTATTTTTAAATTTTAATATAAATGAACTAAAAGATAAATCCTGCTTTATTCTTTTTTTCATACGCCATTAATACTAAATTTTGTTTACGTTTATCCTTCATAGACTCTCTACTGCTCGATAAAACTCTCTTTAATGTAGAGAACGAATCCTCACAAGAAGCCGTTGATATCCCAATGATTATCGCTGCTGAGTAGCATTTATATAATTCTTTAAATGCATGATTATATTTTTTTTATACATAATATGTAAGATGTTTTCAAAATTATGATTTTCTTTAGCTTCCGAAGCTAGCAATCCTTTTATTATCTTCATTTCATGATGCAGTGTTTCCATATTTAAGTTTAACAGGGATTTTAATGGGGCCATTTTATCTGATAAAAAATAATCAGGGTCAAGGGTGAACAATGTATTAAAAGATTAAAATCATCTTCTGTAAATCGGTCTAAAAAACGATCCACAAAGTTATCTATAATTTCATAATATATCCTTTTTAAAGAACTCCAATTGGAGTCTTTTTCACAATCGAATTCTAGTTTGCTATCAACTAAAAAATCTTGGAAATTTTTATGCGTTTTACGTACCCGTGATGATTTTTGTGGAGTGAGATTAAATTTTGATAAAAGTTTTTCAGCCTTAATCATAATCAAAGCAAAAGAATTATCACTTCTTTTATTTTTTAATATATTGATAGTAGAATCAATACAATTTTTAGCATCCACTAAATTAGTACCTACTGATTGTAGATACTTATTTAGTGGATCAATTGTAATTAATATCTCATAAATTATGATGGCTAATATAATGTAATTTATATTAATACATTGAGATAAAAGAGCAGAGGCTTCGACTGAATCATGAATTGAAACCTCGGAATTAAGAGTTCTATTAGAAAAGTAAAATGATACTTCACCAATAGCCTCAAAATTCTCATAAATAATGCGAGATGTTTCTAAATGACCAGTCCATCTCTGGTCTAAAAGTCTCTTAAGGGTGTGGCCTGTATATTTACAGGATACGTTAAAACGCCTGAAAAAATTATACAATGCATTTGATAAATTAAAAAAATTAGAAATAATAACAATATTATTATACCAATTTTGAACCACAAGATGCAACTTGTGGTTGTAGCAATGTATAAAAGGAACATTTTTATTAATTTTTTTTTGAAGAAGTGTTTGCACTCCTCCATTTCGGCCAGACATAACGTTTGCACCATCATATGCCTGGCTTATTATATTAGCTGAATTAATATTTAGATCATTAAGTTGCTTTAAAATGCAATCTGTAATGCTTTCAGCAGAAAGACACGCTAAATTAATGATTCCTATTAAATTTTCTTGGATTTCTCCAGAAAAAATATAGCGAATTATTATCTCAGATTTTCACAACCTGAAGCATCTTTTGTCTCATCGGCCTTAAGACAAAAAAAAGGCATCTCGATTTTATTATATTTGTCTGAAATATGTTCAAGCACCATATCTGCCATAATGGATATTACTTCGTTTTGAATCTGTGGTGATGTATACTGGGCATTTTGGGGTATAAATTTCATAATTTTATTTAATTCAGGGTCTTTTTGGATGGTGTAGGAAAAAATTGCTATAAATAGTTCAGAAGAATAAATTATGATTTCATCTTTTGCAGCATCCATAATATTTGTTGAACCAGTCCCACGGAAAGGTAGCTCTTGTATGCTAAGAAACAGCATCAAATCAAATATTGTTTTAATATAATATTGATTACGATTAATTTGATCACCTCCCAACATTTTAGTTATTTCTGTACCATTGTTTATATTTTGATTTTTATCATGCCATATTGTAATTGAATTTAAATGAGCTTTTGAGCTCTCGTGTTTAAGCAGTCCCCTCTTGGCAGCTAACGCATTTTTCCAATTTCTGAATCCCGTTTGTCCAAATTCATCACTTGGATTACACAAGTATTTCCTACATGGAAAACAAAAGGCAGCGTCAGCTTCTACACTATACTCCAACCAGTCTCGGCCTCTATACCATGATTTTTGAAATGATCTTTGCCTTCCATGGATATCTTTTTTCGCGTAATTGTTTAATTTGATTTGATTTGGTTTATTCTGGCCAAGGTCACCAGGGATTTGAATTGAACCATTAGAGGACTTTTTTGACACTAAAAATATTATAATTAATAAATTGTAATGAGGGAAAGGGTCATAAATAATAATGGTCATCAGGATGGGCGAAGGAAGGGCATGCTGAAAATGAACAAACACAAAATTTATCTTGTATTTAAGATACAAGTTACTGTAGTGCCCAACCCTGATGAAGATTATCAGTAAAGTTGATCAGTAAAATTTCAGTATTAAAAACTAGAAAAAAGTCATAAACATTATATCTTTAAAGATTAACAAAAAAATATAATATTTTTATATTTATAAATCAATTACTAGTTGCTTTTTGACAATGAGAGACTGAGCTGCTAGATGAAGATGATTGAGTCTCTTCTTCGTCTTTATTTGTTTTAAAATCAAAATGTAATAATGAAACACCATAATCTCCTACTCCTATTCATATTGTCAAAAATATATAAATAGAAAAATTTGGGTTAAATTTTAAACTATTTACCATCTTCCTCCTCTTGATTTTCTAGATTAGCTTCATTCATATCTTGAAATATGAGTAAATATATTTATTTTAATAATTAAAATTATTATACAAAAATGATAATATTAATAATAAATGTCTTTCTCTTATCTTATATAAAATATATATATTATATTAAATAATAATATACAAATATTGCCCTATATCAATATCATATAAGTCATGAAATAATAATATAAATTTATACTAACTATAAGAAGAATCAGTTTCTGAAATTTCTGATGTAGTATTACTAGTAGTTTGTAGAGGTGATGTTGCTTGACATTTGTTTAACTTTAACTTAAAATAAGAGTTTATAATTGATTGTTTCTTCATAATTTTAAAATAAACGCTCTAAAATAAAATAACTGGTTATATATTATAATATTAATGTGATACCTATAGAGAATGTGATACACAACAAAAACAGATGAAAAAAATGAATGAATGATAATTTAATATTGGGTAAAAATAAAAATAAAACAGGATAAAAAAAATTTTTACAAACTAGATATGTTTGTAGAATAAATATTCAAAATTTATTTTAAAAATATAAAAATAATCAATTCTAAATAGACATGTTTTTTGAATATTTTTGAATAAATATTTAAAATTTATATTAAAAATATAAAAATAATCAATTCTAAAAAAAAATTCAAATTTGGGGGGGGCCAGAAAAATTTTTGGGGGCCACTTTTGGGGGCCGAAGATTTTTTCTGGGGGCCAGGTTTGGGGGCCAAAAATTTTTTTTTTTGGGGGGGGGGTCCTTTTTACACAGCTTGAATGATTATTTCTGATATTAATAACATTAAATTTTGATAAATATTTGACTTTTTTCCTAAATAATTATTTTCTAATAAATTACTTCACTTATAGATTTGTTTGATTTACTTGCTTTTATAACAAGTAACAAATTTTTGGCTCAAAATTTTTAATAAAAATATAATATATTATAGGGAATAAACTAAGAAAAACTTAGTCACCCTTTAACCTTTCTAATTAAATGGTTAATCAAACGTTCTTTGTTGCGTAGATGGAATATTTTAATAAGGGGATCTCAGTGAGAGGATACATAATAAACAATGCAACAACTGAATTAAGGCAGACCAGAATTTATTAGAACTAAATAATTTTCATCTATAAAACCTAATTATTTATTTAAACTTAGGTACAAGTGATAGCGCATAAAACACTAAAATTATTTAATATATATTTATACGATTTTATTTTTTCGAATCCTTATCGCGTTTTTTCTATTAAAATATTCTAAATTTATTTTGCATTATAAAATAACTTAGGTTATTATTATTTTTAAAATTTCCAAAAAATATCAAACAAAAAAATATATAAATCTCTAATTGTAATATATTCATTTTAAATAAATTCTTTTGTTTAAGGATACAATTTATGGTAATTGATTGATTACCGTAAACGTACCTTCGATGAAGATATAAACATATTAGTTAATTAAATTATCTTTTGATTTTTTCACTTTGTTAAAGTAAAATTATATTTTATTCTTATAAAACCTTTTATGTCTTAAAAGCCATACTAATCAATCATTCCACATTCCTTTCTATATTATATGAGAAGTGATAAATAAAAATGTCATAAAAAAGGAAATCTTAACGTTAATGAGATAAAAAAAATTTTTGATCGTATTATTGACAGTCATAACTTTCATGACATAACAAATTTTGCTGGAAATCAAAAATGCTATACTTTAACTAGGTTATAAATTTATATAAGCCAACATCATTGGCGTGTATCCCATGATTTTGTTTGTGGGCCCGCACAAAATAAACGGCGAATAAATTATCTTATTAGAGCGTTTTACAAGAAAAACGTCAAGAAATTAATGTTGCTTCTTATCACTACATATTTTTCTTCTTCAAATTTTTCATCTCTTCCAGGTAGGATTCTGATATTTGAACTAATATTTGAATTGGTCTGATATGGTCCGATCCGGATTATAATCCCAAATGGTAAAGCAAGAAACATTGGTCTCCATAAAAATGACATGATAGTGATTTTTTTGCTGTTTTTAATTTATATTTTTTTTGTTAAATAATAGGAGAATTTTAGATAATAAAATTTCCCAGACCTCTTTACCTTCAATTGGTCATAAAATATATATCATGATACTAGAACAAATAAATATCTACATCGAACAAAATGACCTGATTTAATAAAGAAAATGTGTAATAAATGCTAATTTTCAATATAATTCAATCCAAAATGCTTCCAATATTATATTGTCCGGCATTTGACATATTTCAAATTCGACCCGATACGAGCAAAAATTTATATATCAATATCCAACCAATCCTAGCCAAGAATTTCTTTCTGTAAGATCAAAATCCCCGAAATTTTAATTTAGAAAATGACCCGACTCAGAGCCATTTTTATTTCAACGAGATCGAATAAAATTATAAGCTATTAAGGATAATTAACATACTGCTTATGAAAATGTTTTTTTTATGTACATACAATAGAAAATAAAATAATTTAAATTTTTCTTGTAAAAAAAAATCAAGGTTTGAATCTGATCAAGTCCGAGAAAAGGTTCAACCGAGAATATTATATTGGACTATGGAGTCTAGTGTTGTTAAAAAACCCGATTCGAGTCGATCTATAACAACGGCCTTATTAAAATCTTAGCCAAAATAATATTATGTAAGCTTGGGGGCTTTGCTCGTAGAGGGCAACAAGGATTGGACCTCTATTTGACACTCGAGGCTTACATAATATTATTTGGCTAAAATCTTAATCGTGCCGTTTTTAAAAATACAACTAAAACAGGATTTTTAACAACACTAATGGAGTACATGTGGATTATGAATTTCCCAATTTTAAATCTTTTACTGTTGCTGCTCAGCAAAGTTGTTTGTTTTGAATTATTCAGTGAAGGTTCTCTATAATATGATAGACTGCATTTCTAGCCAAATACGTTTTTAAATTTAAATAATGCACTCAGTAAGCGTTCCATATTCCAGTACTACATTTATAGAAGAAATGAAGATTTTCCTAAAGAGGGGATTAAAAAAATTATTGGAAAGCTTCGATTTCTCTTATTTAGCGGGCCGTCATCTCGCTATTGCTAGCCTAGATATTAGTAGTCAATTCTCTAGGATTGGAAGTTTTTTTAAAAATGGAAACAAGTTATTATTATCTATTATTAAAATATATGAAACTGCTTACTGAGGAGATCGTATCAAAAAATAAACGTAGTCTGGAATATTATATTTTTAGAATATATAATATAGTTAAAATTAAAAATCTAGGATTTAAAATTAATAGTAAATAGTCAATAGAATATTTCATTTTTGTTAGTTTGTGTTAGAGGTCTACAAATGGCAAAATTTTTACACGCAACTAAGTAAGGGTTTAATTTTAGCCTGGCCCGGACATATTTGTACCTGGCCCGGTTCTATTTTTTTTACTATCATTGACTGGTACAGCACAATCTTTTTTAAAATTCTTATCAATGTTTAGTGATTAAATTAAAATTCAAGAGTATAATAAAAATGAGCAAAAAATTTAATAATAATATAGATTGTTATGTCACCCTTTTAAATAGTGTTAAATTTTTTATCATGACTTGTAATATTCTTTCCCTGACCTCACCTCAAATTAACTTCTTCTAAATTTACCCGGAACCTGGCCTTTAGCCCCTATCAAGAAAATACAAATATTTTAATTTAAATAAATATTATCTATACAAAAATACAAAAACTTTATTTAAAGAATTGATAATACATATATAATAAATTTATATATTTTATAAAAACAAATTTAAAAAAAGATAAAATATATTTGATTAAAATTTATAATTAGAATGTAAAAACAAAAAATAACTTTCGTGACTGGCCCAGGTAAATTTTATTGCTGAGTACAGGGATCATAATATAATATAAACTGTGTGAATAATAAATGATCAAGCAGAAAATGACATTTTACATCTAAACATCAACAAAATGAGCATTGCATTAACTTCCTACAATCTTGTACATAAAATTCAATAACCAATTTATATTTCAATGAAAGGAAGTTCATAAATGCTTGCTTATCTTTTATTTGTATATTGTTAAATTTATTGTATGTTTACAATATTAATTTGTATTTTAACTATAGATTTTTTATGCTTATTAAAATAAATATGTGGTATATGATAAAAACGTTTCAACTTTCAGTTGTTGATACAGGTTTTCCTCAAATCCATCAAACTGGATATTTAATATAGGGGGAAGAAATGTTGAGACTTTCACAAGTTTGTGGGCAAGCCACACACTTGCACATGTAATAATCCTAGGAAATTACTTCAAAGTCCACAGGTTACGATAAAGAGTTGAGCAAAACAAAAGCCTATACCTGAGAATTGCACATATATTTAATTAATTTGTGGTGTAGGGGAGGGGCTGATTTTAATTTTAACTGTCTATATATAAAATTAAAAAATTCTGTCAGTTTTGATATTGGCATTTGAATATTAGTCTTCTTGTGTGACGATCTATAATATATATATTAAATAATTGATAATTTTTTAATCTTGCTATTTCATTAAAATTCTCAATTCAATTTGTAATTTTTTTGCGATTTTATATTTTTATTTAAATATTGTAGATTGATGATCCCAAAACTCAGTATTAATAAAACAACTAAAATTATATATTGCAATATTTAAAAAATTGGAGCCACCATATCTCCAAAATTATATAATATTTATAGGAGAATAGAATTTAGATTGAAATGATAAGTAACTTATATTTATTGCAGAAAAAGTAAACCTTGACTGAAATATATTACCTGATTATACATATTGCAATCAACATATCCAAACATAGTTTGGCATTTATTTTGAAATTATAATTCCCTTATTAATACTTTGTATTTAATTTTATTACAATAAATATGTATAAATTCAAATATATTTACAACAAATTTGATAATTTGCAATAGATGATATTCATATAATTATATTTTATTCACCAAAAATTTGTTTTCTAATAGCAGTTTGAACATCTCTTTGCTGTTTATTTAAGCCTGTATCATTGTATAAATCTTTTTCTGTCAAATATATATCTGTGCATTCTTTTATAAAATCTGGATTGGTTAACCTGTTAAAAAATTCTTAAAATCAATATCCTCTTTAAAAAATTAAAATATTTACCAATTATTATAGCATCCTTGCATTAAACGGCTAGCTTCTCTACATTTGTAAATAACACTTAAATTATTATTATTTGAACAGCACTGGTCAAAAGCTTTAAAAAAACAATATACGAAATGATTGCATATTTATACCCTTTCTTTCGTCTAAGCATTTTACTTGTTTCACGTGCTTTAGCATTGTACTAAAAATTAATATGTCTTTTTCAACATGTCTTAACTTTTTGTTTTCAAACTCAGCAGGCATGTTATCGGATAGATGAAATTAAACATAAAGTAAAATACCATATGAAATTGTTTCACGACCCTCTTTAGATTCAGTTCTCAGTAGTGTTGTTAAAAACCCCGTTTTGAATTGATTTTAAAAACGACCCGAAGATTGTAACAAATATTTAAGCCTGATGATTTTGCTGATAGAAGGCAGCAAGATTTGGGCTTTTACTTACCAAATCTTGGGGGCTCCAATCACCTGTAAATTTGGAAGAGCCCTTTTATAATTTTATACCATAAAAAAAGCTAATTTTGAAAAAAAAATTTAAAAAATTTTTGAAAACCGCGCCCAGGTTTTTGGAGATAAAATGCAAAAACTACAATTGCAAAATATCCTAATTCATACGTTCTAATTCTAAAATAAAAATGTATATGAATTGCGGATGTGCCCCATTTGTGTATTGTTTAAGCATATATATTTTTTCCAGGTACTTCTTTACAGATCATAATTTCGAAACGAACCTAAAATTAAACAATTCCCACCCACCCTCCAGTACACAATTTTTTTAAAAATCGGACAAGGGTCTTTTCTCTATCTCCCATGGGGATTTAGTTGCATTTCATCTCCACGCACAGGTTGTCTGCTAAAAATCTATTAATAGGAAATCCCCAATTTTTTAAACACAATTGACTAGAAATGAGAGATAAGCGTAGCCTTTTTGTTTTATACAAAAAAGGGCGATGTGCTTACTCTGATGTATGACGCATTAAACCGACTTAAGGATTAATTAAAATAAATTTTTTTAAAAAAATAAATGAATAAAGGAAGGTATAATATAATGAAAAGCTGTCATTTAAACGAATCGGAGGTGTTTATAGAATTGGAATCAATTTTCATAAAATAAAATTGGAAATTTGAAAGCGAAATAAATAAAATTGGAAAGCAGAAAAAAAATAAAAAGGCATCAGCAAGAAAGACAATTTGATTAGAAGCCATCACTACCTCCAAACAAGGGGAATATTTTTATTCACTATAATAAGCAAGATGAGTAATAATTGGAGAATGGATTGAAATAGAAAGAAATGAAAAATAATAATTAGAATATATATAAAGTATGAATTAATAATTTAACTATCACTTTATTACATGATCCAACATAATTATAAAATAATAAGTAAAAATTACAAAAAGTTTAAAATAAAAATTAAACAGAATTTCCAAAAACTGAAAAAAGTATATAATATTCACAAAATCTCAATTATATATCTTTCCTTTAATCCTCATTTACATACGATAATATTGAATATATCGTAATAATTCTTCTATTTTGAATAGGAAATTTTTCGCTTTCATCTACATATTACAACATTCACCATACTGATAAATTATCAGTCTTACATAAGATTTCCCAAAATCTAAATCAAATATGTCACGAATTTTAAGTTAAGACGAAATATTAGAAAATAATTTATATTCCTGAGAATGTAATTTTTTTAGTATTTCCAAATTGAAGAAAATACATTCTGACCTAAATGGAACAAGAGATTTTTTCTGATCATAATTTTTTTTTCTTGCTGCTGCTTATGGCTGGAAGCAATCTCTAGCTCCAATCAAGCTTAAGATTATTTCTCTTGAATATACTGAAAAATTATCATTTCGTATTCTAATATCTAGTCCGAATTTAAAATTCGTTACAAATTTTCTCTAAAAATTACTGAATTGCTAAAATTAGATATGAAAATTTTGTTAACTAATTTTGGGAATCACAAGTTTTCTAGTTCAATATTTTTATTGAATTATTTTTAGAGAAAGTAATCTCTAAATACAATATTACAGGTTTTTTTTAAAAAATTTATATAATTTTAGATCATTATTTTTAACTAAATATTGAAATCATATATATTTTTTATTTAAAACAAGAGATAGATAAAAATGAAAGGAAAAATAAATTAATTTGTGAAACATAACTCCAAATCATGGCATTGGCCAAATGGTGAATTAGACGAAAAATTTGGTTGAGCTAGGATGAGATATAAAGCTAATTTTAAAATATAATAAAAAATTATCATTTCAAGATTTTTAATTTTAGCATTAAAAAAGATAGATAAGAATCTTGTTACCTCTAATCAAAATTATTATAATTTATTTAAAAGTAAATTCAAGGTATTCTTGGTCTAATATTTAATAATATTAAAAATCTTATAAACGTATAGATGGTATGAGAAATCTATAAACAAACCGGTCAAATATTCAATTAAATGAATTTTAAAACATTTTCTAGACTGGATTTCAGAACTCTATCAGATTGATAACCTTTACCGGCAATTATAAATTATTTTTAAAAATTGTGGAATATTTTATATTGCAGTAGTACAGCGAAATGTGAAATAAGATTTCAGCTTGTGAATTTGAAAAAGGTTTTGGCTAATATTAAACAAAATAAATTTAGCAATTTCTCTCAGCCAAATTTTTGATCAGAACAGCCCTGTTTATAACAATCCATTCTTCTAAATTTATTACATATTCATAACATTAGCGTAATTTATATTCTAAATTTGATAATGAAATTCGATTTAGGTTAAGGCATACCAGGGGGTTCTGAAATTTGAGTTTTCGTAGTCATTAACTATAAATATAATAGTAGTTATATATTATCATAGGAGTCAGCCTTTCAATCTCTGGAGGCTCAAAATTTTTTTTAAAAAAATTACTTAAATTCTCTTTTAGCTAATATTTTTAAAAATGACTTACCTTTTTTAAAGGTATATTTTAAAATAATATCGAAATTTTCAGTAGGGCTCTTCAAATATTTTGGAAGTCGAGCTCGACGCTAATGTATATTATACAGTGTAGTTTTAAATTATACACGGTAGTTTTAATATTATATATTTATTATTTTTAAAATATGGTTATTCGAATAAACGCGTTCGCATTCAACGTTCACACCCAAAAAAGGAAGTTGAAAACTTTAAGAATAAATTTTTTTTAAAAAATTTCATTTAATATAAATAAATACCATATATTTTTTAATACACTATATTAGTGTCAAAAATTAATAGTTTTAAAAGTGGATAGAAAAATATTATTATTTATGAAAAAAAATTCTTAAATACTTGGATGTCATCTCTTCTAAAAGTCTTGATCTCGAACTTTCAAATCAAGAATTCAGTTTTGCTGTAGCCATTCGCTTAAATGTGACAGCCACAGTTTCATATAAGTGCACCAAGTGCAAAAAGCCAGTAAGTCAAATTGGTCGTCGTTGCCTCCAATGCATCTTTAGCAGTGGACGTACAACATTAATATATAATAATTTACAACTAAATAATCAGGTGATACAAAATTCTAACGTGCAAAAGCTCGAAATATTAAAATTTTTGTAGATGGCATTAGGAAACCTTTCAATTTTTAGTTTCCTATATTCTAACAATATTTGTTTAAACACTAAAAATCGTATAATCTTATTATAGTAATTTTAGTAAAAAAATCTTGTGGTCCCTAACCAACCTCTATACCAATGAAAATTTAAGATGTCGAACTTTAAGTAAATTTATATACAATTTTATCATATAATTTATATTACAATATTTCTTTATCCAAAAAATGATATATTATATTGTCTAATTATAATATAAAATATAAAAATATATATTTAAAAAAATATATATTTAAAAAAATAAATAATTAAAGATTCAATTCAAATAGAACAATGATTTGATATTGGAATGAATGAATGAATTTGTGGTTCTCGATTAATATGATCGATAATTATTATTAATGAGATGGTGATGACGGTAGTATCTTAGGATCTTTCTTTATTTTGAAACTCATTCCGTGGATCCTTTTAATCGATTTTGACCAAGCAAATTTGAATTGATTTATAAATGGAGTGTCACTTGAAAGCGAAGACGAATGGTTGACTACATGGTCCGAAGGTGGGTAATAAAATTCTTTTAACTCCAACTATCCAATTAAACATAAAGTTTAAGGTTTTATATATTTTTAAAAAAGAGATATATATATTCCTAAATTATTTTTTACCTTTTCCTTATCACTAGGAAACCTGGATATAAAGTCAAACAATTCATTGTTATCTAGACTAAGTGGTGAACGAAGTTTTTTGCTAAATTTATTAATGCCTATATATATATAATATATAATTTTTTTTTTATAGAGACTAATTTTTATTAATACCCCATGCTAGAATAAGCCATCTAATCGGTATAAAATATAGTAAAAAGAATCCAATCACAAGCAATATGATAGCGATGTAAGATAGAAGCGGAAGAGAAAAATTGAAGATACTGTATAATTTTAAAAAAAATTTTTATATATAAATTGCAAAAAAAAAAATTACTTTTTAACTCTTTCTCCATACGAAGCAAGACTGTCTAGAGTGTTTTGAATAGTTTGGCAAGTTTCTTGAATAATTTGTATAGTTGATTTAATGCCCGTTTTAGGATCCTTAATATATTTATTTTTTTAGAAATAAATTTATAATAATTTTTTATTTTTATTCCATTTTATTTAAACGATTTCGAGATATTTATTTTTCTTTTTATTGATTCATTACTTTAAAAAAAATAGATATGCCCTGCACATAATTAAATTATTTTAGGATAACAAAAGCCTATCTTGGCCACATAAACCTGTATTCGCAGTTAGCGCGAATTAACAGCTAAGTATACAAATAAAGAAAAAAAGAAAGAAAAAGAAAAAAAAGAAAGAAAAAGAAAAAAAGAAAGAAAAAGAAAAAAAGAAAGAAAAAGAAAAAAAGAAAGAAAAAGAAAAAAAGAAAGAAAGAAAGACTAGTATACATAGCTGCGAATTCGCGCTAAAAGCTAATGCAAGGGTAACAATAATAATGAAAAAAAGGTTCTAGGTCGCGCCAGGCTAATTTTTAAATAGACTTGTATTAAATTATTTAAACCTTTTCCTTCTCCAATTTTGTCGACTGACTCTCGATTTCGTTATCGTCCTCCTATCATTTATTATTATATAAGGTTTATATAAATGTTATAAAAAAAATAAAATAAACTTCTTGTACAGTGGGTTCATACCGGATGTCGAAACCTCTTTTTTTATCCATGTAACCTTTCACAAATAATGCTCCTATAAGAATTGGTATCATACATGGATGGAAATAGTATACTAGTAGGATAAATGCCTAAGTTTAAATAAGATAATATATTAAGTATTCTATCAGTGCAATATTGCCATTATAATTAACCTTAAATTAAAGTACTTAAAAATGCATTTTATAAATATTCTTATATTCACAATTTTCAAAAATATTTATTTTTTTAAAAAAAAGTTCATGAAAAGTTGAACGTTTTATTACTAGAAACGATATCAACGAAATTTTAGGATTCTCCCAATTGAAAATACTAGGCATATTTTCTTTCATCGCCATAACCTCCTTGATTAAAGCTTTTGTTCGATTAACGTTATCTATAAAGATCTAAAACCAATTAAATAAATAAATGTATATATTTACGTTATGATGTATTAAATCATTTTATCATTATACCAATATTTTATGTTTATTTTATTACTGATTTATTGAATGTGGTAGGAGTGAATATAATTTTCTCTTCTTTGGGTTGAAAAGATTGGATACAGGCCTTGACCTAACATGGAAATATCAAAAAATTAAGATTAGTTTTAGGAAGGGTGGAGCTTTTTTTTTGAAACTATAATTATTCGAAAAAAATGATAAACGACTACAATAAATATATGGCTTTGTAACAAATGATTTGATAAAAGAAACATCATGCGGCATCATACCATACTGCCAAAAATATGAAAATAGTTGTATCACTAATAACATTTTTTTAGTCGATGCCACTATTAAAACCGGTACAAACACGGTATCGAATATGCCGGTTCCGATCGGCCGATAGGATTGGTAACCATATCAAAAAATAATTTTGACCTGGGTTCCTTTATTAACATAGGTTTGGATTATGGTCAATTTCAAAAAAAAAGTTTTTAAAATGCAATACTAAGTTTATAACCGAAAGTTCATTAGTCAAAATGGTTTTAAATTTTACTAACTATATTGTAAGTTATGACCATCTCGAGTTGAATCTCGCCTTTGATTTCATTTTTCAAGGTTTGATTTTTTAATTTGTACCAATTTGGGATATTGTTTTGAATCTATTCATTTTTTTTATTATTAAGAAATAAATAAAAATTTACAATATTTAATTTACCGATAATAATGGTATAATTAATTTGCCCAAAAATTTCATTTTCGAATTTTTGTTTTCGTCAAAAACGCTAACATCCAGGGAAGTAAATACATCGTGAATTTCGCTAAAAAGAAATTTACAAAAAATAAGAGAAAAAAATATTAAGTTAGTAAATCAAGTGAATATTTTAAACCAACGATAAAAAACAAGTTTTATATTTAAATGCGAACCCTCAATTATTAATTTTTACTTGACCAAAATTTTTCTTCTTTTTCAAAAACAATAATTTTTTTCTTCTTTGTAAAAGTTTTTTTTTTTACGATCTACACTTTATTTTTTTCCAAAAACAATAATTTTTATTCTTCTTTTATTTTTTTCCAAAACAAAAACTTTAATTCTAATTCATGATAATAAATTTTTTATAATAACTATATATATATCGTAATAATAATATTTCCCCCAAAAAAAACAATGATCTAATATTATATAAATTTTTACTAGTGCTGTAAACATTTTAAAAAAAATCTAACTCGTGCGCGTTCAACGTTCATTGACAAAAATCGAATGCGTTAACGTTCAAGTTCATGTTCAAAAAAAAGGAACGAGTTCACGTTCATAAAACCGTTCAATTTTATGATAAATTTTTTTAAAATTTAATTAAATATAATAAACTTATATTTTTTAATACAATATATTTTAGCCATGTTAAAATATAATATAGTTTTATTTTCATAATATAATTATAAATACAATATAATACAATATAGCGAATAAAAAGATATTTTTATTTATAAAAAATTTTTCTTATTAAATTTTAATACAATTGTTTTCAAAATATTTATCTGGTAGACAGGAACACTTGGTAGTTAATACGGCATTAGCTATACTAAAAACGCGCTCTGTAGGGGCAGATGAGGGGATTTCGGTATTATACTTAATAAACAGCTCTTTTAACGTGGAGAATTAATTAAAAACATATTGCTTTGTTATTTACAAAAATTGAGATAAGTTATCCTCCTCCAATCCATTCTCTACTCTCGACAAAAAAAGGATATCTCGAAATTAACAGTGGGTTTTCAAAGCATTTTTTCAATAACGCTATAAGTTTATTTTTAATAGGTTCGTTCCATGGAAGTTTAATCCATGGTCATTGAAGTTTGAATGCTGGGTGTATAATTGTAGAAAGAACATATTGATCTTTATATATATGTTCAAATCTTTAAAAAAATAAAATATATGTAATTAATTGAGAGTGATAGGTTTAATACCTTTTATTAATCCCAGTTAATACGGCGTCTATCAATGGTTGACCACATTTGTGGCCACTATTTTTTTTTAATTTTAAAATGACTATCGTTATTGTTGGGTCAAATATCCCAAATGCATTATTTCTTCAAATTTAAGATTTTACTTAGTTATATTATATAATATAAAATAAAATAATTAATATTACAATCAAATGTCGTTTTAAATTGGAACCTGAAGATTTTGACAATATAATACTTTTTGGCCACATTTTACACTTAAGCATTGAATTAGTTCCTTCAATATAGGATGTTACTGTAAAACATTTATCATATTTGGCCATGGTAATGATAATTCATCTGATTGGATTTTCAGAATCAGATGATGAGGATTAAATAATAATATCCATGATTATGCTAATCTATTAAATTAAAATATAAACAATAATATTCAAATTAATAAACTATGTGTTAAAAAAATTGAAATGTGAAAAGGAAATACACAGCCGATTAAAAATATAAATAATACATTTAAAAAAATTCGGAAATATTAAATTTTTCAAATAAATAAAAATATTTATAAAATTGAACGAACGTTAAATTCGAAAGCGTTCACGTTCAAAGTTCGTCAAAAATAAAAGGAACGCCGTTCATCATTTATTTCAAAAAAACGAACTTCGTGAACGCGTTCGTTTACAACACTATGAATTGGAATTAAAGTTTTTGTTTTTGAAAAAAATAAAAGAAAAAGAAAAATTATTGTTTTTGGAAAAAAATAAAGTGTAGATCGAAAAAAAAGAACTTTTACGAAGAAGAAAAAAATTATTGTATTTGAAAAAAGAAGAAAAATTTTGGTCAAGTAAAAATTAATTAAAATTAATAATTGAGGGTTAAATTTTTTTTTAACAATATAAAAGTAAGTGTTGTAACAAACATAAAAGTTTTACAAATATTCTTTTTCCACTTTCACCATAAAAAATGCAAAAACAAAACAAGAAATGGAGAAAATATAATAAACTAAAATTTAAAAAATCTAAATAATCGAAAATAATGATTGGTTATAACTCACAAAACAAAAGTTTTGTTCCATTCGGGAGAGATTGTTTTATAAATAGTTTGAGTCTGTAAACGAGTATTGATCAATTCTAAAATACAAAATGGATCGCTAGTTCCTTTTTTTAAAAAAAAGAAAAGATATAATAGCAATTGTGCGATTAGCAAAAGTAACGGAAAAAAATGATACAATCATAAGTCTTTAAAGTACCAATTTTTAGAAAGTTATGGCCTCATTTATAGTAACATCCCTCCCCCCCCCCCCCTCCTCAAAAAATAGTGCTAAACTATTTAAAATAATTGGGCAAATATTAAATACAGCTATGTTATAGTTTAGTGAGGATCGTATCGCTTAACCACCTCATCGCTTTTACTAAAAAATGAATTGAACGTCTCTTAAAAATATAATTATTGAACGTTTTTACTGGAAGATAGTCATACACTTTGTATCAGAGTTTGAAAAATATGCTCAAAAAATAAGATTTTTTTAGAAGAAAGATATATGATCAAATTTTACCTAAAAATGGGCATATAAGTAAATATTTTGTGATCTTCAAGCCTAAAAAAATCTTTTCAAAATAAATCACAAATTTTTAAAATCTAGAAAGATTCTTGCTCAAACATATTATTGAAGGTATTTTTAATACTCTGCTTTATATTTAATATTTGACAGCGATGTAAATTTATGTAAAACAACGGTCACTAGTAACGGGGTTGGGGAGGAAAAATTTAAATTTTCTTTTTTCGTTACATTTTCCCTTCCCAAAAAAGTAACGAGTAACGCTTTATTTTTTGGGTAACGATAAAATTTTGACGTTCAAATTTTTCGGCTGAGTTCGATATTGATTTATCCTTAAAAAGCTATAATGTATTAAGATATAACTGTGTGACAAAAAATTAGGAGAGCTGCATTTTAATAAATTTAGTGCTTGTAAAAAGCAAATCAGCTGATGTAGGGTTTTTTCCTAAAAAATTTAATAATGTTGCAATATTAATTATATTAATAAAACAAAATTTAGCCGAGTATTCAGATTAAAACATTTAACAAAGTTCTTTACATTATATATTTTATTTTTTGCATATTTTACAAACCTCATTTCAAGATTTTATCTAAAATCAAGATTAATTAAATTAATATTGAATCTGTATGTTTTTATTACTTAAATTTACTAAAATAAAAGGTGTAATGTAACGTGTAATAATGTTACATTTGGCATTACCTATTTTTTACTGCAACAGCACTGATTTCAATATTAAATTATTATAAATTATAAAAAAAATAGCGGCGTTAAAAATTTACCTCCTATGTCAACTCCCGATAAATTTCTAGCTTTCAACACTAAAATATGATACATAAAAGGAAAAAAAAAATATTTTAAGGACATAGTATTAAATATAGTTGGGTATAATTACTATATTCTTAGTCGTTTAAACCAATTTTTAGCAGGATAAAAAATAGGCTAAACCCAGTTTTTAGCCCGAAACTATCATTTTATCTTCAGGGGTTTTCTTAAAAATATAGGAGTTCAAATTTGAAAAAAAAAACTAATATGAATGAAAACGCCTTAATGCTAACGGATTTTCTCAAAGTAAATAAAAACTACTCAAAAATACTAAACCTAACGCCGGTATAACAGGCCACCCTGCAACCTCCTATGCGGCTCTGGGAGGCCCAAACAATAGGGCTTACATTAAGAGTAGAAGACTAAAATTTTTTTATTTTTTGATGGAATTGGGGGGGGGGTGCAGGAGATTTTACGTTATACCTCTGCCTGCTAAATATGATAATATAGACTTAACCCTCCTAACCCATATTTAGTCACCCTTTATTTTGCGATTAAAAAAGGACCATATTTTTAATTGTCATAAATTGTATTACCTTTCACAACCAAATATCCCACGTGTTGCATATTTGAAAACGTTTTAAGTAAGCTCTGAATATAATTTAATAATTTTTTAAAAAAAATACCATTACCATATCTAGAATATCAAATTATAATTTTTTAAAAAGAATTTGTAAATCTAAAATTATACACAACCCAACAAATCATGAATAAAAAATGGCGCAGAAATTTAAATATAAAGAATCTGTCCTAGCAAAGTTTATATTCGACACTTCTTTGGCTATGAGAAAAGTTTCGCAATTTAACCATATATTATTTTATTTTTTTTGAACCTCAGCTGATTTTGAAAAATATCGGTCTTTCCTCAAAGTTTAGAACGGTTCTATATATTTTTTAAAAAAAAGTGGTTCTAGTTCTTAAATCTGACGTGGTTCAGGGTTCCAGGTTCTATATTTGATTCAGGTTAAACTTTGATTTTCCTGCAGTACATTATCTATGTTGGAAAACAAGCTGAGATTAAAAAGTGAGCTAGAATGACCTCGAATAGAAAAGGCGCTTCTACATTATGAAAAGGGTTGTGTAATAAGGAAGTCTTTGTGTTTATAAAAAAATATCCCTAAGAGATTTTAGGATGATGAATATATACTTCGCTATATAGACTTTTGACATCGCAGGATTCGGTGTACTGAATCGTTTCGCTTTTCTCGTCCCTAACTTGACAGCCTGTTATAACTACCATAAATTTAATGGAGCCGGTGTAGTAACCATTTTCTAAGTTTTTCCAAAAAGTAGTACTGACATCTAAAGGAATGGTGGATAGATCGATGTCGAAGCTTTCATTTTTTGAAAAAAGGATGATGTTTTTATAGCATAAAATAAATATTTTGGCTCGGAAAGAGTCACAGGGATAGGATATTTTGGCAAATCCAAATATTCTCTTTCTTTTTATGATTATAAAAATGGCCAAACAGACTATTGTTTAAAAATAGGTCGAACTAAGACACAGCCTTAGAAGTTACCCGAATTATGAAATTATTTTTGCGAACTATAATATAATTCCAAAACCTTTTTTCACAGTTGAAAATCTCTTGACTACATAAATAACTAGAGCTCATACCAAAAAATAGAGACATTTTTACAAAAAGATGAACCAAAACAAACCACTATAGAATTTTAAAAGAAAAAAAGTTAAAAAACGTTTTTTTTAATATAAAAAGTAATTTCGTTTCCCGTTTATCGTTTTATTAATATATATTAATTTATTGAATTAAAAAGGTTATGCATTATAATTTAAAAAAATTTGATTAAAAAAGAAAGAACAGCATGCAAGCAAAAAATATATTATTTCAACCAAAATTAATAATTAATAACTGATATAAATATTTAAAAAAAATATGTAGATGAAATATCAATTTATAATGGGATTGTTTTTCATTTAAATTATTTAAAATTAAATTATATTTGTTGAACAAATAGAAGACTCCTTCAAATATCAATAAAAGATTATAATTTATTTTGGAAAATTTAGGATCTAATGATTGAAAAGAGCAAAACAAACTAAAATTAATTATATATAAAGATATTATAATTATAAAAAGAAATAATTTCTATTAATATTGAATACCAGGTCGAACTCGTTTTTGCGGTTAATTATTGCCTTTACTAGTATTTATTAAACACTTACTTAACCCAATTAATTTAAGAACATTCTTATATATAATGTAAAGTAGTTTTAGGTGTAACAATACAAGGGATGGGGGCATAAGGGCAGACAGAAGCTCCCCTTGATAAATTTAAAAATAGAAACCAAAATTATATATAAAAAATACTCTAGAAAAGAGAAAAAACATAGAAAAGAGAGGAAAAAAAGAAATAAATAAAAAAAATAGAAAAAGAAGAAAATAGAAAAGAAGAAAATAGAAAAAGAAGAAAATAGAAAAAAAGAGTAGAGAAAAAAAAAATAGTGATTAAAAAATTGAAAAGAAAAAACTAGAATAGAATAGAAAAAAAATGGGATAGAAAAAAGAGAATAGAAAACATAGAAAAGAAAAAAATAAAATCAGGATAAAATCAGGATAGAAAAAAATATAAAAAATAAAAAGAAAGAAGAGATAAATAGAAGAAAAAGAAAAGGAAAAAATAAGAAATTAATAGAAAAGAAAAATAGAAAGTAAAAAAATAGAAAAGAAAAAAATTTAAAGAAAAAAGAAAAGAAAAAATATATAAAAGAAATAATAGAAAAGAAAAAAATGGAAAAGAAAAAATGAATATAGAAAAAAAATACAAAAGATAATTAATGGAAAAGAAAAAATGAATATAGAAAAAAAATACAAAAGATAATTAATGGAAAAGGAAAAAAAATAAGAGAAAAAAAATAGACCTAGGTTTTTTTAAAATCATTTTTGATTTTTTTTTCAAAAGTATAGAGGTCCCACTTTTTAAAAAAATAGATGACTATTGGCTATTATAATATATTTACTTTCCAAGCAATAAATTAGGTTTATTTTGGGTCTTTTGATACAAGTTGATGTTCATAATTTGGCATTCATTCATATAAAGATGAAAATTGAAGCGTTCTCTCCAATGAGGATTCTCGCTTTTGTATATAACCTATATTATCATATTTTTTACATCACAATATTATATTAGTATTTAATATATAGGGTTTGCCGTTGTTTTCGAACAGAAACTTTTATTATGAGAGCCCAAAATAAGTAAACAAAATTTACAAAATTTTGATCTCATTTATACAAAAAAAATAAATAATAATGTCATTACATTTATTTTTTATCATTCTTTCAAACAAATTCCCATTGTAGATGAGATTTTATTTTAAAAAATTCTAAACAAATTTATTTGCTAAAAATAATTTTGTACATTATTGATATTGCATAAAAACGTCTAAAATCAAAGCGAAATTTTTTTTAATAAAAAGAATATCTAAAAAAAACTTATGTAATATAGAATCAAATTCTTTTAATTATGGAAGAATTGAAAGAATGACATTATGTAATTTAATTTTTTAAAAAAAGCCATCGTATCATCTTGGTAACCAAAGGGCAATTTGTTAATTAATATTTAAAAAAAATTAACTAAAAAATGTAAATAACATGTACATAATTAGTTGGAACTTTTATTGATGAGTATACATTTTATAAGAATTTTAAAATGAATGATAAAGAAAACTATTTATTAAATTGAAGGAATATATGAACCTGTGCTTAGCCCGTAGATTAATTATTAAGATATAAAAAAAATTTCAAATGTATTAAATATTAATTTTTTAGTTATAAATGAAATTTTTAAAGATTATTTCGGATTGTTTTTATGCAATAGCATTATGCACAAAATTATTTTAAGTAAGTAAACTTATTTAGAAAATTTTAAAATAATTTTATAGATATTCATCTGAGTTTTATTGAATAAATTATAAGTTCAGTGTAAAAAATTATATTTTTTAATAGATGTTCGTTTTAAATGGAAATTTGTTCAAAATAATGGTAAAAATAAGGGGTAATAACATTTTTTCCTATTCTCTCATAAAAAGAATTTCTGTTCGAAACCAAGAGATTATGGTCCAACTAAAATTTATTCAAATTTATATTATTATATTTTAGCAAAGATTTGCAGATTATAAAAATAATTACATTTGAACAAAAACCCTTTTAAATTATCTTACCCTAACTTATATCTTCAAACCTTCTTCAGATCTTGTTTACTTTAAATATATTTAAGTTGAACACAAGGTTGGAAAATTCCGGGGAATGGTAACTCTCTCTTAAGAATTTTAGGAATAAATGGGAATTAACGAAACGGGAATTATAATATTTCTTAAATAAAAACAATTTTATATTTTATTATTACAAGTAACTACAGATAAATAATAATGCAAATATTAAATATTATAAGATTAAGCATTAATTGCTTAGTAAAATACATCATCAAAACTCGATTTCACTCGTACTATCATCCTTTCAGCACCATTTTCATTATGATATTTCCCTCTCTGATGAACTTTCAAAAGTCTATTGTTTATAGATTGAGTATTTGAATTAGTGTTGTTAAACGGCTCGTTTTGAGCCGATTTTTAAATACGGCTAACTCAATATTTCTTTTAGAAAAATATTACGCAAGCTTGAGGATTTTGAGATCAATCTCAATATCATCATGGTTATCCTCCATAAATCTTGTATCTAATAAAAAATGGATTTCTTTGCAACAGAATTCATATCTCCTTTGAATAAAAAGTTGTATATTGCATATTAATGTTATTAACAAATTTTTTAATATACAACATTCAGGTACTTCAGAAACTGTTTGTTGTCAGATTCAATTAATAATATTTCAGCATATATTGGTCCAATAATTTCTAAGATCTTCTTTATTATCACCCAAAAAATGTTTAGCATCCAGAATTTAGGGTTTAAGGGTTCTATATGGATTGCAATTTCTTGTAAAATTTTTTGTTAGCTAAACTCTTTATCATTATTATTGCACCACCATATCTTGTTGGATTTGGTAATTTTAGATTGGAATAATTATTAACTTTGTTTCTCTTAGTTTTGCAGAAATGAGATGATTCCCTTTCATTTTTTTATTAACGTTTTAGCCTTTCTATATATCTTATTCAATGAATCTATTGTCGATATATTTTTAAAATAAATTTAGTCCAAGCACATCCAATGCATTGCAAATGGCAATAAGTTTGATTATTTTTTAATGTTTTTTAAAATATTTAAAAATTGGAATTTTGGGAATATTCCCTTTTCTTATTCAATAAATCCTCAGAATATATTCTCGGGAATTCCTGACACTTCCCGGGTTTAATAGTCCCTAGTTGAACATCTGTTATCAATATAAATTCAACCAAAAAAATTTGATTTAAATTATTATAATGATGATACAACATTAAATAAATTAAATCCTTAAAAATAATCATAAAATATGATCAAAATAATTTATGACACCAAGGAGAATACGAGAATTATATAATTTTTAATGATCAAAATAGCTATAAATTAAAAGATGAATATTTCGTTTCTTATAGATATAAATAATAATAGAGTAGCCGTAGCTTGAAAAAAGAATAATTATATTTGTTAAAAATAAAATTAAGCCGAATGATATTATGCGCGAAGTCGCTATTTTTACTATATTAGCTTAACGTTATTTATATCTGCTAAATATCAAAAATAATTGGTCTAAATTCTCTTGTAAATTATTACATTTGGCATAAAAAATGTTTATCTTGAAACTTAATTAAGTTCTTGCAAAAGCATATAAAAAATTTATTTTTGAATGAATGAATGAATAAAAGTAAATTATACTTTGGTCTTAGCCTTTTCAGGACCGAGTCGTATTTTTAAATAGAGATTTAAGGGTTGATCTAATTTCGACACATGTTTTTCTTCAATCTGATCCTGTGTAAATTTTGATTTTAAATTAAAGAGAGAGATCAAATCATACTTTTTCGTTCGCACCGGGGTTAGCTGGTTTGATATCCTTGCCTTCTAGCACGATAAGTGTCACAGTGCTCGTCCAAATGAGATTTATCATCTTTTTTTGAGCTGCCCGCCTGAGACTTATAATACGACTCTATAAATAAATTTTTTCGGAGATTAATTTCTCTTCAAAATATATACATTTAAGCAAGTTTCTGGAAATTTAATATTGTTTAGTTAGGTATTTTGAGACCACACCAAACAAAGACCGATTTATGGGCAACCCATCGAACCCTGGGTAATATTGACTGCGGCGGGTTCGGACTTCTTTTAGAAAGATCTGTTTTCGATTTCCTTTGATCAAAATTTCCGTTAAATAGAGTTTAAAATTCCTGAACCCGAATTATGGTCCAGAACAGCTATATATTTTAAAATCTTTCACAGGTATCAATTAGAATTGAAAAAAAATTACAAATATTCAATTATTGGTATTATTTGCCGAATAAAAATATGGAGATGATATTTTATTTTTGAATTTCTTCGAAGCAAATCAATTTATTCTTATTATATATACACTTACTAACTATCTTCACCATCTCAGAGATTATAAATAAATTTAAGGGCCAAATAAATATAATAATTTTTTAAAAATAGAGGGTATAAAATGAGGAAATATATTATATTAGAATTATTTACATCTTTTTCATCCAAAATCTGTTTGGTCAAAGAAACATTGACATTTATGTATCCCATAATGTCGGGTTTGTCGGGGTCCACAAGTTTCAGCCTTAGCTGATGAACACTATCATATATTTTTTTTAGTTAGAAAAGATGGCTTATATATTGAATTCATTTTCTGTTTTATTCGTTATTTCTATAATTATAACAACCTATTATTCTAAAAAATGCCTAATGTGCCCCTGAATTTCGCAATAATGCAAATAATGCGGGCCGGGGCTATTTACGAGCTTGGAAAAATTTTGGTCTGGTCTACCTCTAATGTAAAGTAAAGATCTGCAAAGTTGCTAGGGCCTAATTCTATTTAAAATAATCGGGTTCGGGCTGGGCCTAATATTTTTATTAAAAATTGGGCTGGGTCGGGTCGGACCTTGAATTTTTTTTAAAATATATCTAAATTTATCAATTTTATATTGAATTATTTATGTAAAATAAAAATTTTTGATTTTATTTATTGAAACTAAACACCATATAACATATGTCTTTTATTTTGAGTAATTATAAAAATTAATTTATATATTTTAATAAATTAGGGCCGAGCCGAGCCGGTAAATTTTTTTAAAACTAATTTCGGGTTCGGGCAGGGCCGGTAAATCTTTTTAAAAAAATTCGGGTTTGGGCCGGGCCAGCAAAACATTTTTAAAAAAATTTCGGGCCGGGCTTGAAAAATTAGGCCCGATGCAGATCACTAATGTAAAGTATTGATAAAGGCATTGAAAAAGGAATATATTTCCCAATCGAAACCTAAACCTTCTTCTAAATTTTTCTAAGAAATTATCTAATTATATTTTGTTATTACATAAAATAAGTTTCCAAAATTCCTTGGTTGGGTCACGGATGCAAAATTATTTTTTTCAAAGTGATCCTAATGACTAATCAATAAATATTTTAAAAAATATATATAGTTTAAGTTATAATATCTAAAGTAATTTACTAACTCTTCCAAAGGTAGATTTGAGCAATCCAGAGCAGCGGCCCCCATAAAATCATCCTGAGTGGTTCGATCGTAATCGTAAACGAATAATTTCACTTTGGCCTCTTCCAATTTTTCTATCGGAATTATCACGTTTTCATTCCAAACAGGATTCAAATTTGCTTTTATCGTCTTAGTTCTGTAGACCGTGACAGATCCCAACTTAATTTTAACGTATGGGTCGCTACTACCTAAATAAAAAATCAAATATAAGGGTAGACCCGGAATATGGCTACGTTTTGTTGTGATAATCAAAACCATATCTTTTATGTCTTTAAAGCTAGATTATTTAACGTAAACGTCATTTTTTGGCCAATCAACATCAGGGTTATTTGCCTAGTATTGACTGGCCACGCTATTTTATTTTAAACAATATATCACTAATATGAACTATAAAGATATTCATAGGCTCATCAAAACTAAACCTGAACCTGTTTTTTTATATGAGCATGATCCTAACCCGATATTAATTTCGGTTCATATCATGTCCTTAAATTAAATGTTTAAAATATTGATAACCCTTATAATCATAAAAGCATTTAAAATATAACTATATAGGATAAAAAGAAATAAAGAGTCAATTACAATCTAGCTGACGTTATTGCCATCCTATCTATGGTTTTTCTTTATAAAATGTTTAGTATAGTTAAAAGTTTAAGAATTCTGTCTATATAAAAATTTAAACTTCTAAGATAAAAAATGTAGAACTATTCAATAGAGCAATACATTATGGGTTCTAGAGTGAACTAATAAAGAGATAGGAGTAGGGGCAGAATTTTTTTTTAATTTTAAATAAATATAGGTAAAGGTACATGGTACAATACATATGGATAAAATACAATAATTAAAAAATTAGAGGAAGTTACCAGTCAGCCACTTCCCCTGTCTCCCCCAATATTGTTTTATTTTATTTTAATTGGTTGATAGTTATTTTACTAAACAGTGCCCTAATATAATAAAAATGAGATAACACCCATTTTTAAATATATTATCTTTTTCAAAACTGTCCAGTGATGGGGTTGAACCAGCGTAATTCTTTTATCTAGCCTCTGAGCCCCATCTGTCATTTGAAGACATTTATGTTTTTTTTTGTATTATCAATCAAATATTTTATATTTAAAAAAAAATTAATTCAAATTTAAAAAGGATCATAGTTTACCACAAATATCCTTAATGGCTAAATTTTCCCCATTTTCGATGTGTATATTTAGGTGGTAAATATTTAAATCCTTGGCAAGATCGTTGTTTTCCCCAACATCATCATTTAATCTTCCATTCTCATTATACGATTCATCAGGGGCAGATTCTTTAAAAACTTCCTATTGGTGTTTTTTTAATGGGTTAAAAAAATCTTTTCTATTAAGTTAAAATGGAATTACTACAATCGCGATTTTACGTAGCGTTTAACTTTTAATGATTCGAGTGTTATCATATATTTCAACATTAATGAAAAAAAATATAAAACAAGCTTACGTTATTAGGGGGCGGAAGCGTATCAATTTTCTTACCGTCACTGTGGAATTTCTTAAACATCTTTTGAACAAACGCGGGTGGTCCTTTGTGGTGTTTATCGCTTTTCTCTTCGGATAAACCTTCTAACAAATATTCTTTATTCGTTGAACTCTCGTGCGGATATAAGTCAAAATTTGACAAATCATATTTTTTCGATTCTGTCATTTCGCTGTCAGTATCATCTTCTTTGTTATGATGAGTATAGTGGCCCAGAGGATTATTCGGGTTAAAAAAATGTGATTTTTCTTTTTTGAACCATTTGCTGATATTATGCGCCGTGGCGTTATTGGTAAGGAAATCGGATGATGGCAAATGCGTATGCGAACGTTGGCTAAGTTTTCTGACGAAAGGGGGCGAGATGGGTCGAGATGATGGTTGTTTGGTAGTAGTTCTAGACTTGTCTATGAGATCCTTAGAAGCATAAACTAAGGGGTCATCAGGTCCTTGTTCCATTATATCCATAGGTAGAGTAGGATCAGTAGAATCCTCTGGAGATATACTAATAAATATATTTTGGTTCTCACAGTTATTATGATATTCAAAATGTTTAAAGAAAACAATTAAAAACTAGAAATCAAATATTACATAATGCCAGTTCTATTTTTTGTTATAAAAAATATTTTTCAGAGGTATAAATTTATTTATTAATATAACTATAATACCTGAAATTTAATATTTAACTAAAATTTAGTATAAATAATAATAATAAAAATATATATCCAACTGTTACCACTTTGATTTTTATTTTGTAGAGTTAATGAAAGATATTGGTAAGATAACAAAAAATCAATATATTTAATCGTAAATTTTTTTTGTTGAATATTTTCTAAAAAAAACCCTTTGAAAAGTGGTAAATCGTTTAGGCGTTTATAATTTGATTTTCGAATTAAACAAGAGAATTAATAATATTACATAAAACGCAGGATACATTAATTGAATTAGATATCTAATCTATTATATCTTTTCTGTGTAATTATGTAACTTTGCTTTGAATGTTTATTAGAATAATTTTTTTTATAGTCTTTTAATTAAAGAAGGTTATATATTTTAGGATCCAAAAGTTGGCAACAATTATCCAAATTCATATCTATTTCCTCTCATAATTTTGTTTTAATATTTATAATGGATAGCAAGACAACTTTTGCAAGCGTGGGACGAAAAATTTTCCCAAAACACGCCTCCCTTTTAAAATATATATTTATTTATGGAAAACATTTTTTGTTGTATTCATAATATAGAGGATAAAATTTTATTAATTAGAAATTAGTTTAACATACTAATAAAAACTAAATAAATAGATGGGAGACCGGGGCAGTATGGACTAAGTAAGAGGGATTAAATAGAGCATAGCATTAACTCGAGAAGCTCTTAAACATTAAATAAATTCGAGCATGTAATGTAATGCATCTTTGATTATAATTTTTAAAAAAAGTCTTTATATTATTATATCTTATATAATTTTTCTAAACAAATATTTTAAAATAAAATGATTATTCTCTTTTTTAATATTAAAAAATAATTGTCAAAAAAACACATATTTATGTAAGGTTTTGTATTTTAAAAATAAATAATTTTCGTTCATTTATTTTTGATAATGTGATAGTATCATTATTAGCATGTGTGAGGTACCCCCTTCCACAAAGGTTATTAATCTTATTAGATTCCAGTTTCCTTTAGAACTTTTTATAAATTTATGTTTTATACAATATATTATTTTTTAATACACCACTTAACTTAATATAAAATTTAACATTTTAGTTTTATTATTAACAATAAAAAAAATTTTTATGGGCAAAAATAATTTGAAAAAAATACGCATTAAATTAAAATATTACAAATCATTTTTTTTGCGTAATAAAATAAAAATCATTTAAAAATTCAAATAATTCAAAAATCATAAAAATTTTTTAATTTTTTTTTAAAATTTAAACGAAGTTGGTTTTATCCGAAATTTGTAAATTATGAGTTTTTTTGTTGTTATAAAGGGCTCGATTTGCAAAAACGACTAGCCCAATATTTTAGCCAATAAAATATTACGCAAGCCTATAGATTTTGTTTATAGATTAGCGGGTTTGGAGTTGGACATATATTAACAAAATTTAGAGAAGTGCGTAGTATTATTTTGGCGAAAATCTTAATTTAAAATTGGCTAAATCGAGCAGCCTTAACAATACTATTTATGAGTATTTTCATCCATGAATCGTGATTTTAAAAATTGGTCTATTTTTTTTTAATAAATATATATGTTAATGAAATTAATAAATGATACTCGAATTAATTAAAGTAATATTTTGTTTAATTAATATGGATAAAATAAGATGTTGTGTTTAATAATTTTATCGATAGGGAAGATCGAGGATCTTATGAGCGAGAAGTTCTTGTGAGCCTTGAGGTTTTCTTCTACTCAACTCAAATGGTTAATTTTTTAATTAAATATGTATAACTACATTATGCATGCGGTTGTATGGTTTTTAATATCGGATCACATATAAAATTTTTATAACGCAATATATATGATTTATACCATCAAAATTTACTTTTTTAAAAGTTGCAATTAAAAAAATTAAACTCTTTTCTATATAGAATTATTCTTTATTTGAACAAAAAATTTGTTTAAAAATACCATAAAATTGCATTTTAAAGATATTGAAGGTCTGGGGCTACTTTTCAGAGATGAGCTTTTTGAGTGTTATTTTTAAAATTTTGCTTATTGAATTTGAATATGGTAAGAATAAGAGATTCTATTAGAAAAAGAAACAACTAACAAATAATGAAATCATTAATATAGTTATTGAAAATCCGTCTTTGCTAGGCCGTTATGGAGAAAACAAACTTAGCTTATGCAACAGTAAAAAAAAAATATAAATCAAGATTAATGAAACAACAAGAATTTAAATTCTCTATCAAGAAAGAGCAAGAGACTATATTATAAATCAACCCTCCCCTGGTATAGCTAATCCTTTCCCAATTATCTTTTTTAGGGAAATTAACATTGTCCGGCCCAGATTTTTTTTAAAAATATTTTCGGTTCGACCTGGCCCGGGTTTTACATTTTTTGGTCCGGCTTGGATCTTTTTAAAATATATTAAATTTATCTGTAATTTTTATAGCTAATAATGGCGATTTTAAATGTTTTGAAAATATACGGCCCGGCTCGAATATTTTATAAAAAATTTCAGGCCTGGTCGGGGTACATTTAAAAAATTAAAGTACAGCCTGACCCGTGTAGCCGTGCCGGGCCAGGCCGGGGTTTAGGGCCGGGCCTGCAGGTCACTGTAAAGCATAAAAGTTTGTAAGTGGAATAAGATTAAAAATTATTTATTCCATATTATTAAGTAGTTTTAATTTTATTGACTTGCCCTTTAGGGCTCGCGTGCTACCTGGTATCGCCTACATATTTAAATAATAAATCCCGTTTATTATATAAAAATTACTAATAAATATAATTATAATTGGTATAGTATTTTCTCCTTGCAATCGAAAATAACCAGTGCAAGGTAAAGGATTATATAAAAGACCACTTGAAAAAACAGGTGTTCGAAATTGACCATCTAAAACAAAGCGTAAGATGATTATTTCCCGTCACCCATGCTAAAATTCTGTGTGTATAAAGAATATTAAATAACTCTTTTTATGTTAATTGTAAGCACTAATTTAATAAATTTTAATTTTTTTTTTCATGTTTTTTAAGTATATATACCAAAAATTAATTAACAAACTTCATTTCAGGAAAATAATTGCAACTATTCAATTTTATATCATACCCTAAATATTAAAAAAGTATTGAACTAAATATTATAATAATTAAATGGTAAAATCTTAAATAAAATAAAGAAGTGTTTAGGATAAGTAAATGAATCTAAACAAATAATGGATGGTGTTCGTCTAAAATTAAAAATTGACATGGCTTCCTAATTGATAAAATATATACCGCTAGATGGCGTATTTATAATAATTTTTAATATTTTATTGATTTTTAATTTTTAACGCATTTGTTACAATTTAAAGTATTATATATATGTACTTAATAATCAAATATTTTCATAAACCTTTATTTATAATAACTATATTTATATATAATAAATTTTGATTCTCACAACCAGATAAAGAAAAACATGATTCAAAATAATGATGTCAACAGTAAAATATTAATTAAGATTAATGAAACAACAAATTTAAAATTGTCTACTTCAAGACAAATATTCGAGAAAGTGAAAGGAACTATTTAAGTGTATTTTTGAAGTAATTCTTTATGTATATTTTTGAAGTATATGTATGTTTTATTGTATCATTTGATAAAATCGCATTTTTTTCTTGTATATTCAAATTCACAAAATATCCAAAATTATAAAAATAAACATTTTTCAAAATATAATAAAATAAACAATTTAATATAAAACAACTATAATATATAATTATCTAATAAACGCATCTAAAATGTTTAGGAGTCTTTGTCCCATGTAAATGCTTTTTTTTCGCATGATCCTATTGCAATTTTAATCCATTCTTTATTTATTAAAATTGTCAATAAATTTCACTAATTTTTTATCACCATTATGGCTTATTTCTATCTATAAAGTAGTTGCACAAATATATATCATTTTTATATTTAAAAATAATCAATATTAGCAGCCCAAAAGCGCCTCATGGGAAAGCTCATCCTTCCCAGGATGTAGCTCATCCTTTCCTAAATTTTATTACGTTAAAAAAGTATAATTTTTAATCATTAAATTTATGTATAATTGAAATATTATTTATTCAATATTATCAAGTAGTTTTAATTTTATTGAGGTTTGCCTTTGTCTTTTAGGGCTCACATGCTCCCCGGTCTCCCCGAATACCCTAGAAGATTCACGAGGAGAGATTGAATGGGTAAGTTCTTCTTGTCAAACTCTCCTAAATTCTTTTGTGGTTTCTAATTATAATTCTATGATTGTTAAGAAAATAAATATTTTTAGGCCTATTTTTTATTAAGTTTAAAATCAATGAAGATTTATGAAGACAGAATGGATGGTAAAGGTAAAATGGGTATATCATTTGAAAATTATTGTAATAAATTAAATTTGGAAATATCTGATAAAAATAACTAATATAAAAGATATATAGTTTAAAAGGCATTTTAGTTTATGTTGTTAAACGTTATTTTAAAAAGTAATCCTTAAATGTACTAGTTGACTATTTACGCCTTTTTTTAAAATTTGCTTAATAAATAGTTGCAGTTTCATTTAAAAATAACTAGTTATACAAGTTACTTTATTTAATTTTTTAATAAATCCATTATTTTTAATATAATATTTTTTAATTTTATAAAATATTTTTGCGATTTATAAATTTTAATTAAAGGAATCTAAATTAAAATACAATTTAAAAATAGAAAATAATTCCCCCTGAAATAAATGCCTCAATATAATTAAATTAGCATTGAAAAAAAAAATATATCAACAATTAATATTTATTTGCACAGAAATATATTACACCACAATATATTTATCTTTCTTA